CCTGGTTTACACTATCCATTAGGCGGGTTCTGGTGTCAATGAACCGCCGATCACCGGGATCAGATCGCCGCGATCCGAACCCGCGCGCGCGAAACAAACGGGCCCAATAGTAATGCGAAGGCTTGCTCGCTATTGTCAACCAAATCATTCATGGCAACAATATAAATACACGATGACACGAGATCACGTTTGTATTCGGAACGGTAAGATGGTCATCGATGTTTTCAGTCAATGCAAGAGCTTTGCGACTCAAGACTTTTATATGACGTCCATGAACCTGAAGATCTCTCAAACTGTTCGGTATTTTTCGGTCTGGGAACCAGACTAGCTTTTAAATACATTGGCAATGCTTTTGTTGTCAATTTGGGGCACTATTTTGCCGTGATATCTTGTTCGTTGTAAGCTTGGATTTCCTGTGCAGATTGAGGGCTCCGATATTTATTCATTGAAAACATTTTGGAGAAAACTTTGCTTTGTAGCCCAGTATTACTGAAACAACATCTCTTAGACAAAGAAAAGAAAACTTGACACAGTAAAATATCATCCCTCGGGCAATTTCTTTTTCTGTTGAAATAACGGTAGCATTGAGTTATCCTGAAAGGACATCACACGCTTGCTCACAAACATGTAACATTACATTATCAAAGAACAGAGAAGGCACTAGAATGTCTTGACATGGCAAAGTAAAAATCCAAACTTGATTTGGATGGAAGATAGAGACGCAGTTATATGGGTTTCACAGAAAAAAAAATTTCTAAGGAGCTATTAATTTGGGGGAATGTGGAACAGCCGTCGACATAGCATGACCATTGTCTTCAAGTTCCGTGTCGTTTGTTACCCGATCTAACCATAACAGGTGTGTTGATACAGTCCGGCCAAATTTCTCTGGGGGGAAATTGCCGAGAGGCAAAATGGGATCGCTCGAGCAATCATAAATCATTCCCTCTTTATGTAATGCATTAAACGATATAATTGGTGCTCTCTGATGGCCCAATTCTGTCCAGTATTGGCTGCTCACTACGTACGGGTTTTACTTGCTTTGAACGCGGGAGCAATGGAGTCGAGAATGTCTAGACAAAAGTCAAAAACCAAGTTCCAAGTGAGTGCATGACCTGCCTCGGGTAGAATAGGTGTATGGGAGTTGCTAATAACGATGTCATACACATTATAAAATCCACAGAAGCGTCAGCCCTTTGTTGACAGAACGGTACTGCTTGTCAAGGGATGCAGGCAGCTACCTGCTACCCCACAAATACTCAAGCCGCGCATATGCTGACGACGACAAATTAATACTCGTCTCCAGTTTCCCCCTCTCAGGTTTGTGCACGGTCCTGTTGTGCACTGAACGAAAACCGACGACCGGCGGGGAAAACAGCATCGCTGGATCTCGCCGATGAAGTACAGCACATTCGTTCCTAATTTGCTATGCGGATATCGTCTGTGGATATGACCGGACGATACGGCAGCGTGCGTGTTTGTATGCTGCTATGCAAATGACTTTTTTTTGCGAATTTTCTCTGGTATTGCTTCCAGCGAAATTCCACAGACACTCTAGGCCGGGCGGGTTCTAAGTGTATTTGGCAGAAACTGGAGCTTCTCAAAGCAGAATTGCCCCACTATATTTCAGTACAAAGAACACGATCCACTCCAGAAAATTTCTAGGTAAGTCCAAAAAAACAGGGGAAAGAATGCTGAAGCCGAGAGCTTATATACTGCTTGTGTACATGTTTGTATTTTTAATTTTATTTATACGATGCGCTATTAGACCGCCTCCCAGTAAGGCCGTGTCCAAATTTCTTGGCTGCGGCTTGACATTATATACAAGTCTATGGGGTGTGACGGCAGCCACGATCATAGTTGCATGCGATTTTCAAGCCGTAACTAAGTTATTCGGACACGATCTCACCGACAGTGAAGCTTAGCCAGCGTTTTGGAAATACCCCTCCTTACTTTTGCTAGACAACTAGTTTTTGTGCTCACATGCTTCGCGAGACTGATTCCAGGAACTAGTCCTTGATTGCATTATTCATAGCATTGGATGGAACATTGGCAGCGTTGGCAACACCCTCTCCCAACATCGGTGTTATTCTTGGCACAAGTACAGTAGTAAGATACACAATAGTTAAAATTAAAACTGTAATCCGATGATAATCTCACAACATGGCGTCAACGAGAACGGCGGTTGCTAAGTAGCGACAGAATCATACGAGGACTGGACCTTAATGAAGGACAATCAATCTTCTAGAATGGATATTTTTGTTCCATTTGACAAAGGTCGTTATCATGCAGTGTAGTGATTTGCGTAAAACCTCCCTTAAATATCGAAGGCTCCTCCGTGGAAAACTGTTGACAAGAGAAAATGAACGACGCCTGAACGTCATTCTGTCACGCCCAACAGTCATAACTCTAACTTAAATGTAGCAATTGAATGACGCACTACTAAGTTGCCGAAGATTTCGTAGCAACAACTGATTTATTTCGATGCAACAAAATCCTGACACGAGTGATTATGAAGGCCTAGGAGTCAGTATCCCCCGCTCGGTTCTAATTTACACCTCTCAACTATCGCCCCATCTCCGACTCCACTGGTCTCGTTTATAATGTTTAAAGATAAAGAGACAGTCTCCTAAAATTACTCTCTTGTCAGTGCTCATTAGAAAGCATGTCCGGTCTGTTTCGACTGCCTCTCCGAATAAAGACAGTTTACCACTGGCCCACGCATTCGCCTGGCTCTTGTAAGGGTCGGCTGGTACCCGTGTCCCCAGGCCGTGTTCACTCCAGGTGAATACTGACGGGCCGACGACATGCTTGTGCCACGGGCACCAGCATGAGTTAACTTCCTACCTCTGCAAGAGGTGGGGGAAAGTGAAAGAAAAATTGAGGAGGTTTGCGCAGGATCGTCGTTAGCATAGCCGTTTGGATAATGTTTGACCAGTATTCGTGATAAAGTGCCCCGAAGAAGTGCAGACGACGAGGGAGTGAGAGATGGACTTTGGTTTCCCGCGTCTTAGAACCAAGTCATTTTGACGTTCAATCATTTTTTTCCGGGGGAAGGGAAGAAAAGAGGAGGGCAGAAAAAGAGTGCGTGCGTGATGGTCATGTTGACTTGGTGGCTGTGAGCGTTTGTAAAACTAAAACAAAAAAGACGGAAATGCCTAATTAAAGTGCATTAGCCGTACATTTCCATTTTCTAGCTTACGTGATAAGACAAGGTATATCTACACGAGGGTGTGGCTTTTTTCTTCTGTGTATGTTGATAATGAGTATAGGACAAAGCCCGCTGTGTTTGTTTTCCATGTCTGATGGCCGGTCATACAGGGATTGGTTCCCAGACGTGCTTGCGTTGCCAGGAGCAACGGAGAAGCAGGAAAAACTACACCTATGTACAAACGCGAGTAATCATGACACATGACAGTACATGGGTTAAATATTATGCTGCTTGGTCAAACAACATTCTACTCCTATATATCGGGATAAGATACACTCAATCTCTCTCGAAAATGCCCGTCAAAACTGTTCAGAATGTTTTTGAAAGTACGAATTTGAGGGTGGTCTCTTATTCATAGCGAGTTATGATTTCTGATATTCAAGCTTTCGTACTACTATTTTTTGCAACTTTGTCGAATGGCTGCTCAACTTTAATTGCCACTGAACGTTTGCATTTTCAAAGCGGATTGTTGTTCTTATAGTTATTGTTCATTTAGTTTTCCCTCTCGTGGTCAAAGGCCAAATTACGGTGAAAATTACAATAGTTACATTAGTTGAAAAAAACCAAAACGGGGTTCACTGATGAAAAAATAACCAACACATTACAATTGCAGTCCTTCTATACAAACTCAATTAAAAGGCTAAATGGGCAAACATTCCACATTCCTAAAAACACACATATTTGCCATTAACAACAACAGATTTGAATACATGTACTTCACAAAAACCACTATAAATGCACACCAATGACCAATTGCAAATGGAACATAGTAATCCATGTATTGCATTGAGGGCAGACTAATGAACAAATTATACTGCTAAGTATTGACAAATCGGCATTAAAATTATATTGTTAAATTTATTTCATAAAAAAACTTGTTCAGAAAAAGATGAGAGGATCTGGCTCAACAAGACCTTTTTAAAAACTGTCAAAGCTTCGTATCTTTATGGGTACGATTTTCGTGACTTTAATGTGGTTTACCTGTGACATTTCAGGCGGAAACTTCATGCAGCACGGTTTCAGTCTGTATCTCTTCATCGTCATCGATGTGCCTGCTGACTGCTAACGTTGTTAACTTGTTTACGGAACAACGGCCGTGAAACACACTCAAGTCTGCTATTTTTTTTTTCTTTTTATTATTTGGTAAAGGTAATTTCCTCCTTGAGGGCACACCGAGTTGCTATGTACAGAATGCTGCAAAATTAACTGTATGTTATTTCTTTTGTTTTGCCAAAGGCATGACGATCACAACAACCAAAATGGGCAGGAAACTACGGTGCCATGTCGTCATCGTGACGTCAGCGTGGGGGTGAAGAAAGCACGCGCAGTCTGAACGAAGCGCTGTGAACAGTATGATCATCGACCACGTGACGAGTACACGGCGAATACAGTTGAAGCTCGACGGTGGAGCGGACGTCATTACAGAGCACTGGCTGGCGGTGTTGGGGAGGGCAGGCATTGCTTAGAGCATTGGCGGGACAACGGCGCACCGGTTCCACCTGGCGAAATTCACTGGAGCAGACAATTGCCCCCCCCCTCCGTCCCTCCTGCCATTTTCGCCGAACTGTTATAATTTCGAGACTCACCATGATCGGACTGAAGTGCATGGGTCTTTCTTTTCTGTTCCGTGCACAGTTTCCCCGCTGTCTCGGATATGTTTGAAATGGAGCAACGGAGAAATAGTGCGTGCTTGCCTTGTTTGCGGAGCTAGATTAGATAACGGTGGAGGTGAACGATATCGGACTCGCACGTGGGTAAGAGCAAAGATGAATCCGACCTACATGGTATCCACGTGGACAGGGACTTTTGTGATATCGGTCGTACTTTCGTACGAGGAGTGATTTCTGTCATCAGATTCATCTTGTAAAACAAATTGTCACACGATTGCTAGACTGTATACTTATTGAAATCGCGATTGTCCACGCGAAATTACTTGCTCTTACCACTTCAATTAGGAGGACTAGGCGGTAACGTGTGGAAGCGTGTTATGCAACCTTCCCAACTTTAATCAACTGTAAGTACCTATCCACAGCTGTAGGAACCTTGGGAAGAGAAATCTGTGAGTCTTTCTGTGGCCGGCGTCAATTGGCTGACTTCGGACTACACTGTGTGGCTGAGTAAATCGAGCTGATAGTGCCTCGCTTTTCAATCGTTAATCTGTGTCATATGCACCTGCTCTTCGCGCTGTAATTGTCAGTATTTACACAATAGGGAAATCTCCATGATCACCACCAAGGTAGCACTTGGTAGCGAGCTACCATCTTTAGGTTGCTATGGACCGCGTGCCTCGCTGTGAGTCAGTCCATGGACCACACTGGACAACGGGGCACCAGTGGTAGGTGGGGAGCAACTGACTTTTTTCCGTTCCGGGTAGTAAATCAACCAGCTCATGAAGAACTTTTCAATATCCGTCGTGCCTGCAGCGCCGGCCGCCAAAATGACTTCGAAGCCCGAACGCGTGCTGGGCGAGACGGCGCTGATTCAAACCGACGGCAACGCCTTGTTGAAAGCAGCCTGGTTGGGCAGACTGCGCCTAATGCGACTCCTGATCGAGGGCGGCACGGACGTCAACAAGACCAACGACGAGGGCCACACGGCCCTGATGGTGGCCTGCCTGAGCAACTACAAAGACACGCAGAGCAGCGCCAAGGCCAAGATTGTTAAGTTCCTTCTCGAGAACAAATCGAACCCCAATGCCCAGGACAGGCACGGGAGGACTGCCTTGATGTACGCCTGCTTAGAGCGTGCGGGGACCGAGGTGGTCTCTGCCCTGCTGAAAGGCGATTCCGACGTCCGGATTGTGGATAAAAAAGGTTCCTCGGCCCTAGTTTATGCCGTCAATGCGGGGGAACCCGGTGTTCTACGGTTACTGGTCGATGCTTGCAAAGCTCAGGGGAAAGAGGTTATCATTATCACCACCAATAAGAGCCTTCCGTCCAGCGAACCAGAGACCAAGCAGTATCTCGACGTCCCCCCAACCTTACCGCAGAGCCCACCGTTTTTTCAGTGTATAACTCCATCAGACATTTCCTATGGGCGAACGGCGACGAAACCCGTATTGATGGAAGTCAGGGATGGTCAGAATGCCCCCGCCCCTGACAAGGTCCCAATTGCGCTGCGTGTTCCCAGCCTGGAACGCGCGGCCTCCCTTGAGGGTTCTGATGCCGAGGAAGGCGTATCTTCCCGAACACAATCGCCCCGACACCTAACCCCAAAGGAGCCACCTGCAAGCCAGGCCTCCACGCCTGTCGTGTACAATCACCGCCAGTTTCGAAGGGTGGACTCTGCCTCCCCGACCGATGATAGACCGGCCTTCTCCCCCAGACACGAGCGATTCGTGTCCAGGGGCAGTTCACCATCGCTGTCGTCCATCAAGAGTCTCGGGGACCTTCATCTCCAGTTCCAGGACCTCCGAGATCAAACACCCAGTCCACCGCACCAACAGCAGCCGCGGAGACCGCTGCTTCGCCGGCAGAGCGCTGAGGCCTTCACTCCCACTACCCTGCAAGGCCTGAAATCTGCAGAGTTCGTTCATCCTCTGACAGCAAAGCAGCAGCTCGCGGCAACCAATTCAAATCCTCTGGAGGAGCGCACTGAGATACCTCCCAACATCTTGCCTATGTCTGCAATTCTTGCAAACCGACGTCGCTCACTCCCCGGCATGCCACCGCCACTCCGAAAGAGCCAAACTGTCCACTCGATCACACTCCCGTCGGAGCCGTCCAACCAGCCGCAACCCCCGTCGCTCCCAGCCACCAGCTGCCCAACCAAAGTGCATGGTAGCCAGTGTAACTTGCTGGAGGAGCACACCGAGGACGAGACCGCGTTATTGGGAGAGGGGGAGTGTTCAAACGGCGCGGAAGGTCTGGAAGGCAGCAGCCTGCCGCGGGAGGGTGCCAGAACTCCCCCCGACGGACGGGCCAGTCTAATTGCGATACATCGCCGGCAGTGCTTTGCGCAGAGGAGAGGCTCAGCGCCGTTCGTCCTAGACGACGAGCTGGCCCACACCAGACCCGGGAGGCTGCCTCCTCTCAAGGTCAACCCCAGCGTGCCCCTTCCAGACATTGGGTGCATTCGGGATCCAGCCATCCGTTCAGGACCGTCCAGTCCTTGTAGGAGCCTTAGACTGGACCGGAGGCACTCCATCCAGCCGGAGGATCTGCGCTCCCTGACAGCCTTTGCGTCCAGGAACAGAGGCAATCTTCGAAATAACAGGAGCCACAGCTCAGAGTCTGCCGAAAGTAACTGACGGATGCCGGGTGGTGAAAACTGGCAACAAATGTGACCCTGAAGTCTTTTTTAATGTCGAGATCTGCGAGAATTCTGCCAAGTTGAAAATGTAAATCTTGATAATATAGCCTTTAAATCTACTATTCCTACAAAAGAGCTACTTAAAAATGCAAGCTCTATCAACTCATTTTTGTCGATGTATAGGGTGCTCAAAATGAACTAGATGTAGTTCCTGAAAGAATTTGGCCTCGGTCTTCCCGAGGTATAGAAACTGAATTTTTTTTGTGAAAACTTTCTCGCAGATCGTATCATCAGTAGACGAAAACCTGCTGAAAGTACATTATGGTTACGCACAGTGTGGCATCTCACGTTTCATCATATGTCCTTTTCCAAAGTAGGCGAAAATTTAGGAAAAGAAAAATAGGTTGAACAGCTTGAACAGTCATTGTGTAGGACAAAGATTGTGGTACGTTTACAGTGCAACAGCGGCGGAATGCTTCCAAGAGTGGAAGAGAGTATTTTTAAAGAGACTGAAACGTTCTAGCCAGGATAATTTCGAAAGAGGAAGATGGGTCTCCTTATCCGAAATGCTGTTGTTGCTGAGTTGCCATGCAATCGTTTTTCCCGCTCTTTTTATCTCTCAGTCTCTCGGCTCCCACAGTTCCGCCACCATTTACGTCGCACGAGGGCGCAGTAACTCTATCAACTCCGGAGCACTGAAAAAAATTGCAGCCTTACTTCGGCTCAGCTGAACTCGGTCCACTCGTAGGAAGTTGGCGTTTCGGTGGTATCTCATACCCACGTGCTCTGCGGATGTAGCATACGTAGTAAACTGTCAATTGAAATATTATCCTCTGAATTTTTCATTTGTTTATTACTGCGCGAATAAAGAAAAGGCTGGTCCCTCAAAATCGTCCCAGTAAGAATTCTTTGCCATCTGTACGAACTGCGGCTCAGAAGCTTAGCTTAAAGTTGTCAAATATAAAATGTCAGGACATATATGACAATTTTTCTGTTCTATGGTTCGATGTTACCTACACCGTGTGCAGTATTTTTCCCCCACTCTATTTTCAATATATTCAAAATGTCTTGAGAAACAAAGTACCAACTACCCGTAATAACCCCCCCCAAAAAACCCCCAACGACACCACAATTGTTGACGTTATATTTGTGCAAATGTCGTACTATTGTTTAATGTCATTCATGTACGATAAAGTAATAGTCACTGCGTTAACTTTTAAAGGTGCTTACTATTATATTTGTGTCCGAATCATCTTTTTAAGGAAGTGTTTAACTTTCTCATTGTTCCAGCTTCTGTTTCACAGCAGCCACATTCAACATTGCAGTGAGGGGTTCATTTTCCGTTGCACTTTGACAAGTCTTTGATTCTATAAGCCTTTGACTTCAAAAGGTTTACAGAGCTCTTGATTCCAATAGGTGAACGATTTGTCACCAACAGTAAATTCAGTGATAGGAAAATAAACATATAAGCGGTGTAGGCTGTCTGGCACGCTGGTTTCATTACCCTTAATCAGTAAAAGATTGCTTCATTTTCTTGTACCAAAACTGACGTTTCAATAGCTATGGCCCTTCAACCTATAGCAAGTAAATGTCTGAAGACAGAGCCACAGTGGCGAATTAACTGATCCGGATTTCGGATTATTCTCTAGGATAGCCTATGTGGCCTACATAGATTATAAATAATTTCCGAAGATTTGAGAAGGAATGTGCATATTTCAGCACTGACCTCCTATGAAAGTCAGAGAGGAGTGTTTTAAGGTTTAATCACCAACTAAACAAACAAATATCAAGCAAACATGGCAGATGGAGGGTTTGAAGTACGGTCAATCTGGTCATAACAAATCTGTTGGAGCAAATCGGCTAACGCAAGGTGTCAGGCACAGGGTTCCCATACCCTCTAAGCCCACGGCGAGCCGCTTTTATCAAGGAATTAGTGTGTAAGGTGTTTGTTGGCACCTTCTGTGGCCACTGGGCATCCTAGCCCATGCAGCATACGGATAATTCACAATACTGCGACCCCAAGAGTTTGTAACGATTTGATCAATCACAATGCGCGAAATCTGTCGATCTAATGCGCGTTTGGAAAGGGTCGACAGATATTGCGCACTGTGATTGGTCAACGCTGTGCGAACTCTTGGAGGCGCACTTTTGTGAATCGCCCGTATTAAAGAAAGCTTTTTATCGTCGTATTTTGCTGTCTTTCTTGTCTGTCCGAAAAAAGGGTAAACAGTGTAAGAATTACAACCATATTTATTTTTATACATTTTTATTATTCACCCAACGTCTTTGACAAATTTTAAGTTCATCTGAAAAGGGGTTTTCACTACCGTTTGATTAATTTGTGTGCAATGGCGTAAATTTGTGCCGGAAATTGGGGAGGGGGGTCGGGGACGGGGAAAGGGAGGAGGAACTGCCTGGCCATGAAAATTTGAAAAGCGTGGTGGGGCGATGACACCATACGACTCTGTACAGAGGTCGATGTTCATGATATTGATGTACATCTGTAATACGTATCAATTCATGCGGAATCTTACATCTGCACGGCATATTAATGGCTTTTAAAATTGGTTTTCCTTTGTTTTAGCGACATTGAATGCATTTTTGTCGTTGGGAAGTCTGAAAAATTCTTCAATATCTGCTTCATTTTTTTTAATCACCACAAAAAGTGGGGGGATGATTCAATAGCCCATTCTCCACTGTAGCGGGGGTATGCCGGTATACCACCATTCCCCCTCCCCCCCGGGATTTACTCCCATACTTGTGTGGATATGTAATGGCAACACCTAAGACACCAATCCAGCCTTGTTGTATTTATGTAAGTTGGTTGGCCTGTATTGTGTGAATTGTACAAAATGTGCATAATAATGCTCACATTGTCAAGACAGACCGTAAAAGTTGTAGGAAGTTGTATGAAATTAAATTTGTCGCACACACAATGAAGTGAGGAATGAGTGACTCCGTGATTTTGACACAGTGACATGAATCTATTAGGCTATCCCGTCCATTCCGGGTCGATCCAGTACATACGATCTTATGCGTCACTCGAATTCTCGCTATCTGATTGGTGGGTCGTCCATTTTGGACTGGTTAATAGAACGTTGTGCTGTGCAGGAGGCACCACCGTCATTTTTGGTGGTGACACGGGGCGGCGCTCTTCACATAAGTAAAGTAATGCAAAATTCACATTCGTTTTAACAAAGAAATTGATCCCTTCGAATTCAAACCAAGCATTAAATTGAATATGCTGTCAAACAGTTCAGTTCAAATGAATCGCAATACACGAAGAAACGTCTGTTGAAATAACCCTTGTAAATGCACCCTTGTCAGCTTTTTGTGCGTGCAATGTAAAAGGCATATTTGTTTTTAAGCCAATTAAAATGTGCATGTTCGTGAACAAAACTTGAAACCATCCTGGGACGAAACATGAATAATCCAGTTATTTTCAGCATCAAAATTGGCCACAATGTCGGATATTTTGCTATCCTTGACTTTTTCTCAGACCATGTGTTGTGTCAGTTCATGACATAAGGCCAGTAAACAACATTGCCAAAAAATAGTGTCAGTCAGCACAATTGGGGTTTACTGTGCGAGCAGAAATCCCTCATTACAAAGTGTCCTGCTGGAATGACGTCATAGCAACAGCATCATAATTTGTCTGAGCAAAGCGTGCAGAAGTTTAAAAGTTCAAAAAGGGTACTGATCAACGCAACGTACCTCCGTACTGATGACGCCACACGTTGTGAACGTGCATAATGTTATATGCTTTCCTTTAAAGGTTCTACTGGCTTCATAGGGAAGTACTCATTGTGAACAAACTGTGACGTCATCAGTACCCGGGCATGTTATTAACCATACGGGAATGTTAAATACCTTAAATACATTTAAGAGGTGAGGAAAGTTGAGCAAAATAATCTTCGCGTGGGCCTTTGCCAAAAAGGATTCTGACTTTATGTAAACGAAAGTCTCGGTCTTGAACGCCCACGCATCCAAATAGCAAAGATCAAGAATTATTTTCCAGATACGTGTAACTACAGCAAAACAACCGTAAAATTCACAGTGGAGTTTCTAGGTCCGTAGGGTCAAGAGAGAAAGCGATGTTTCTTTCCAAAACCGACTGCCATCGGTAAACAGAAAACCACTCCCGCAAAAGGTGGAAGTACTATTTTTTCTGCAGGTGCTCTAACTAGAGAGCAAAGCCGCCATGGCTCGCTGCTACAGTTATAAGCAAAGGTGCAAATCAACTATGCATTGTGTATTATGCATAAAACTATGACTCCGTCTTTTACGACACATTTTGTGATCAGAATGCAACTTTTCCTTGCAACTTTCACAATTTATGGCTGTTTGAAATGCCTCAAATCTTTAGATATTTTATCAAATCTAAGGTAAATTCGGAACGCAAATAATACAAACATTCGAGACAATGAATAATCCTTCATCAACTACCACCACACAACCCCATTCACCTCAGTATAGCTCCACATATCCAACTAATCCCCAACCGTCAACAATAACAAAATTTCCACATCTCCCTACATACCCATCCCACCATATCCCCACCCATGCCATCGAATCTCCACCCTGTCCAGCCACAAACCCATCATCCCCAATCCTACCCATACCTTTGCTCATCTTACCCCACCAAGCCCTCATCCAAGGTGTGGTGGGTTTGACCACCTGTGTGAATACCCGGTACCGTCTAATTATGTACAGTACACGTATTTAATACATGTGAACATGTACAATACAACTACATGTACAAACGTTAACATTTTGGGGAATCAATCTTTCCGTTGTATAGTAAAAAATACTTCCAGACAATAATCTGCACAAGGTCCCGGTTCTGATAAACTACTAGAACAATAACAACATTATTATTACACATATGCCGCAGGCAAACTTAATATCATGCGGGTGAACGGAAATCGGTATTATATAGGAACTCATTTGCTTGGCAGCTCGCCAAGGACTTCCCCTTACCCCAAACCCCACCCTACCCCCCCCCATCCCTGCATTCGAATTCGCCACATTTCGCGAGTGTGAAATTTTCTTACAACAACTAGCTTCTCGGCAAGAAAACTGCAGCAAGAAACTCAGTGCAAAAGTTACTGTACAGCATTACAGACGATTATTCTTCTGTCTCGTCTTTGAGTTGTGACCATTGGTGTATAAAGGTACCTTTTAACACTCACCTTTGTTGAAAAAAAAAATTATACAATACGAGCAGGATGATCAAAATGCTTCCTGTCTAAAACAAATATGATAAAACCTGTTACTTTAGAATTCGACAGCTCTTTTTCACCAACACATGCACACGGGGCCGGGGTCAAACAGTGACCTGTTGAGCTACATTTTATGTCGGTCCTATGTTTACACTCCTCAGTGTCTCTATTGAGGATCTGCTCACCGCAAATGTTTTGCTGCGTAATTCAGTTCTTAAATATTTTGTGAGGAAAAGTTGGTCATGCTTGTCAGCGACGTAGTTAATTACGCACTCCCAAACTTTGAAAAAAAATCAGTTGAACCGCATACAAATTTAAGGTATTATGGGCTTATCAATTCCAGAGTAGGTACCGTAATCGGTTTCCTTATTTGGGATCTAGACATATGGTTTATACACGTTAAAACACGTAGCTACGTTAAAATAGCTAACACACAAATATTTTAGCTCTTCACCTCTATAGAAAAGAATACAGTTAAAGGACTTCACAGTATACCATTATAATAAACGAGTAATTCATGGCTGCAAAAAAACAGCAAAGTGCCAGTGGCGTATCCAGCGGGTGGGCGGGCAGAGGGCCACCTTGCCCCCTGGCGGAATTTTTTTTTACAAAAAATATTTCATAGGTGAGTAGGAAAGAAAGTATTCTTTATATTTATTTATCAAATACTAGCACCAAAACCCTACGGAAACAACACCTGCAAATGAAAGTAAGGATGTCGGGACCGTGGGGAAGGCTTTTGATTTGTTATCTCACAACATCACTTTGAGTGAACCTGAAGCAGGATTCACTTTGAATCCCCCCCCACACCCAAGTGTGTATTTGCCTGCAACTGGGGACCCCCTATTGTTCCTCTTTTGTTTGTACTTTAACTTTTTTACAGGACCACCCATATGTTTTGTACACAGTTGTCAATCGGGGACCCTCTGTCAATCGGGGACCTTATTGTCCTCTATTGTTCAAGGTCCCCAATTGAATGCAGAAACAAACTCACATACACACCCGAATACACCAAAAGCTAGATACGCCGCTGCAAAGCATCCAACCGTTCAGGGGCTGAAAACAGCCGCAGACAGCAAGCTGAAACTTTTAAGCGCTTTCCCCTCAATAAAATCTAAGTTGAGTCACACGGGAAGGTGTTTTAAATTTGTTTGGCATCCCCCAAGCTCTTTACACTTTGGGTCAATGCATCACTCTTTCCAATCTAAACTTACAATTTCGGATGTCCGAGTCATTTCAGGTGTCTAGGTCACTGTGTTTTGAGGGGGAAGATGTAGTCAAGACACTGCAGGTCTTCAATCCAAGCCTTTGTCATAGCAACGTCCTCTGCGCCAATGAAGTCGTACTCGTATAGTTCGATTGTCAAGTCCAACAGTCTCTGCTGTAGGGACGGGGACGAGTCTCGGGGCTTCCAATCCTGCAAGAACTTGATGAGGCTCTCGGTTTTGTAATATAGGTCCATTTCGCCGTCAAAATCGGCCATGTAGTTGTGCTGGTTGCGTTCCTGCCTCACGAACGGGGAGTGAAACGCAAGGTGCAGATTGACGTCCCACAAGAGCCGCTGGGTGAAGTAGCTCCGCCAGATGTCAGTCACCCGGCTGTGGACAGTGACGGGCAGCAGCATCCCCCAGAAAGCGTCGTGCGCGTGCAAAGTGGCCTGGGCGTTGTACGGAGAGAACATCCTCTTGGGTACGACCAGCCGCCGGGGCGTGGGGTTGAAGTCGAACGGGAGCTCACTGGTCAAGCGGTAGATGGCGTCCACGTCCGGGTCATGCTGCGCCAGGAATTGAACGACACCGACTTGCTGTGGCAACGCTTTGCCTGATTCAGCTGCTATCTTGGTGGATTGGTCCTTGATGCGACTGAGAGGAAATCCCCTGGGCCACACCTTGGTGTTTTGCCCAAACGTCGGGTAAGGGTTCCACACCGCGCCCCCTGCGGTTACGTACCTGGCATAACCAACATTGTCAAACGCGGGTACCTCGGGGAACAGCGGTGCATTGTCGTCGTCGGTGTCGTAAATCAACTTAGCGCCGTGTTCGATGGCGTAGAGGTAACCGATGTTCTTCCGGCCGAAGTGGTTCCAGGGAACCACCCGGCATAACTTATAGCCGCAACTTTCCTGCTGGACGACATCCAGGTAGTCGACATTAGGAATGTTCATGGACTGCGGTCCTTTTTTGTCTGCTACCACAACCATACACCACCCCTTCAGAGAACTGATCTTAGGGAGAATTGGCGTTGGTTTGTAGATTGTTGTCACCACTATCCACCGATCACACTTGCGGCCGGCATTGGGGCTGAACGGTCGGCAGGAGGCGGCCGAAGGTAGTGCTCGACTCCCTTCGAATGTCCGGACTTTTCTGAGCTCGTATGCCCTCCCCGTTAGACCCTCACCGCCCGCTGACGTTCGGCACCTCACCGGCTGCTGTCCAGTCGTTCCTCTTATGAAGGAAATACTCGACTTACAAATGACGAAATTGTGCAGCAACATTCCGGCAAGGACAGAGAAAACAACAACTAGAAGAGAGCGTGTTGTTACCCTCGTCTCGGTAAGGTACGCCATGTTGGATTGATTTATTTGTAGGCTGAACCCCAATGAGTAGTTTGGCTAGACTAGACTGATAGGTGTCCGTGTCTGAATTACCTGGCTGTGGCTTCAAATTACGCACGAGTCTAATGGCTGTGGCTTCAGCCACTGCAAAAAGAATTGTGTATAATTTCAAGCCGCAGTCGAGTAGTTTGGTTATGGCCTGTGTTCACCAGTCACACGTGGTTGGGCACCTTGTGAATCGATGAAGCATGCATGGATAACATGCATCACTTGACACTGCATTATGCCCTGTCTGCGCTGAAGGTTACGAATTATTCAGTCCTTTGATAATAGACGTTGTTCGTGCCTCGAACCAGTTACCAGTCCTGTAGACCCCCCTGCGTATGACGTCACGTCAGAGAGCATTTCTTTCTTCCTCGCCAGGATAGGCTCGAGTAAACCTTTGGCGCCTTCATTGTTATCAAATCTAAACGACAAACATGTCCTCTGTGAGGGCGCTCCATGCAGCCCCTCTTTACTCACACACAGACATGAATAGGCATGCTGGTTGCGCGAAATTCTACGGCAGTTTAAAAAGTTCAACCTTGACAAATGGTGTGGATCTGTCATTGCAGTTTATTGCAGGCAAACCACTTTAGCACAATGTCATCAAATCATTTTACAGTATATGTATTTACCAGAATATTGCCTGACACTCATGTAAACTTGAACGTCAACTTTGGCCCGCGTCACAACAAAACCATAAATTTGATGGATTTCAAACTTTACATTTGTAATGATGAGTAGAAGCATCTTAACACACAAACCGAGTTTTCAAAAATCAAGTGTGGCACAATTGAGTTCTTTGGGGCGAAAACTGCCTAATTCCCCCCCCCCCAGCTGTGAGGTGGGCCAAAGTAACCCAACTCTTTTAGAGTCCTGAGATTTTGTTATACGTCAGTCAATTCCGAGCGCATTACACATGCGCACTATTACGTTGCATGGATTACGGCAGCAAGTCACACGCACATTTGATGCAAACTATGGGACAGAGAGGACCCCCCCCCCACCCCATGTGTTGGTCGTTGTTGTACTGGTATCTCAGGAATTCTTTTCAGACATCTAGGGGTGTGTAAAGTGACAATAGGCTAAAGTGTGTATTGGAATTGGACATGTTGGGGGTGCCCCTCTGTCCTGTTTTGTGTCTGAGACGTTTTTCCTTCAGTCAGATTTTGATGACAGGGTTATGGCCTTCCACAGTCCATGCAGTAAGAGGGCCGTCGAAACTCCAACCTTTCGTAAAACCAGTGTGTACCCGCTGTTTAGTTCGTTGACATCGTTGCCAAATAAATCTCGCCATCTTTTGTCCTGAATGGAACTGGTGCCGGACTCAAGGATGACTCCACATCTCCAAGCCTCTCCGACGATGCAGCTGAGACAGACTTCGCTGACTCTTACCTTTAAACCTGTAGGAGAAAGTCCACATTGCAGACAACATAAAGTGTAGGATTAGTAGAGTTACTCTCAACCTCGGATCGTGCTTCGTTATACACTGTATAGTTACATAAAGGTCAAAGGTGGGTTAGGTTCACGAATCCGGGCAGATTTTCAGCTTGTGCGGGGGGCGTGTGGAGCTGGATGATTATGGAATTCCATATCTGCCGTCGTGCGTCGCCCGTCGTGCGTCGTCCGTCGTGCGTCGTGCGTCGTCCGTCGTGCGTCGTCCGTCGCTCGTCGTCCGTTTTCGGTTTTGTTTTGGTTTTTTTGTCTTGATTGCGCAGTGGTATTTTAACTTTGACCCTTGATCGTTTCACCGTCCATGTACTTGTTCGAGCGATCCATCGTGCGTGACTGTCATTTTAGCAGTAGAACTAGAAGATGTATTCGTTTTTTGCGGTTGCGCCGAACTCCACTTGAACGAAAAAATAATATCCTTTCTTTTTAAAGACTGACATCGGTAAAGTGACGTGTATATGAAATAATACCATTTTTGTTACATCGATAACTTAGTTACTCTAGACGTAACTTGACTCGTTAACAGCCTGACTTTAGGTCTATAGTCTATGTAATATTTCTGTCTGTCCCCGCACGATATCCCACAGAACTGAATGTAAATAATAAACTATTTACAATGTTTGATTCCTTAATAGTTTTCATAATAGACGAACTGATTCAACATTATTTTGAGGGCGGGTATACCTATGATGAAATCTGCTGTATACTCCAAATTAGACATGACTTGAGTCGCAGGTTGGCTCACAGAAGTCTTTTAAACAGTAACGTTACTTGTTAGCCCCATAAATAATGCTGATGTGCTGGACAACCTGTTCTCATTGGTCTATCCACCATGGCATACACATCCACAAAAACCAACACATCACATTTTCTGAAACTTAAACCAAGTGGTAATTGCCCCCTAACAATACATTTAATAAAAAGTTTGTTATCCACAGCACGCCTAATATTTCTGGATTTCAAGGTGAAATTGAGAGGACAAAATGGAATATCTGTATCGGTTGACAGATTTCTTTCTGGAATTTGATGAAAACAAGTTGGCACATTTTTACAGTATGCAAATTAGAATAAGACTGCGGATAAGTTGGCCGTAACATTTTTGCTGAAAATGTTTTTCCCCAATACTTGGTTGAATTCTCAGAGAGGCGATGTTTTCTGGTCAAGGGGCAGGGGTAGTCTAGCATTATTGGTATCAATTATGGGACTAACATATGCTTTGCAGGTGGGATTTGTACTTGCCTATTAGGAAAAGATCCTTAAAAGTGAATGGAATCATCACATTGTCATATGTTAAACCTCGGCTTTTGCAGGCCCTACGCAACCCATTTGATGGACGACGCACGACGAACGACGGGCGACGGAAAATGACATGTTTGGAACTGGTAAATGGCAGAATTGGGACACAACAAAAAGCAAAAGGGAACGGACAACGGACGACGGACGACGGCAGATATGGAATTCCATAGGATGATACAGTAGGGACGATTTTTTTCTTTGATTTCCGTTGGAGAAGACTGGGGCGGCAATTTTTATGGGGGGAGTGTGACCCCCCGGACTACGTCGCTGAGGTTGGAAATTCCTGTTCTCTCTATATAGGCAAAAGATTGAAAAACTTCCTCTCCGAAAGAGTGGGTCGCTCGTGATAAATTCCAAAAGATTGAGGAGCCAATAAAGGACATAACACGTTGTCCGTTACAAAGAGTGGAAATTTCAATCATTTGGAGTAGCTTTCACTCTTTTTTGGAAATTGTAGAATTTTAAAACTCTGCACGGTTAAAGTTGGACGCCTTGTAAACCCTCTCTGTACAGAGTCAGCACACCAGTTGCGTCGAATGCACTGCTATTAAAAAAGAAATATGCACGACAAATTAAGAAATGCTCTTCATTTTAATGGTATATCCAAAAAGGGAAATACCATAATTCAGTTGGGGCTTGAAGTATTGTCTATCTGTCATCGGTTAGTCTTCCTAAAGAACGTTTCTCATGGTGTAACAAAAATGCATGTTAAATCGTTGCAGCCTGAGCGTCATTTACCGACTGACAAGAGAAACAGGGACTCTGTAAGTAACATATACGTCGACGCCGCAAAGATTTAGTGAAAAGCCTCATGCCGGTGGATTTCGTCATCGTGTGCTTGTTTTTCGCGACTTCACAATTATGGTGAAATGTTATTACGGAAAGCTTTCTGGCCAAAGATACACTAATTATCATCATGCATCGCTTTAATTGCACTTTGCAATTGCTTCAGAACAGGTACGCTTCATGCTATATATACTATTTGTGGCTGCGGTGACAATGACTATGGCCCCATGGGAGGTGAAGCTATTCATCAAATCGTCGCCGGCATTATCTCTTTCAGAAACCGTCAATGTGTTCCAGAATGTGCTCATCAATTCCTTGTTTGTTCTTGGATGAAAAAACACTCTTAAGAAATAATTGTGTTCCCAAATGAAAAGCGTCTTGGGATTAATGTAGGCGCCTGGCCAGGATTTAGTTTTCCTGCGGTGAAAGAGAGATTTCCCCCGTTTGGATTAAATTACAGAAGTTTCAAGAAACTGCTAGATAAAAGTCGATTGGGTAATAATTTAATAATAATAATTTGGGTAATAATACTTATCGTATTATTCAGCGCTTTGTCACCAATTTTTTTCAAAACCTAACATGTTTTCAAAATCTGAATGAAATTTTCCAGACGTACGGTGCCACCACAGTAATGGCTTCTAATGAGCCCTGAGCTGGACCGAGAGAGGGCGCAATTTTCTTAGTAACGGAGGCCCCTTTGGCAGGAACTGCATTTCGCCGCAAGGTTCACAAACGACTGGGAAATACACGCGTTACGGTCACACTCCCTACTTAGTGCATGCTCTTTTCAACCGATGAGGGGGTGCTTCTGTTCCAGGCGAAATTTTGATCAAAGAGGAATGTACGCGGGCGTACCACTTGTTGGCGAACAGGATGGCCCTGCAGTAATAGCAGTATCCTACTGGTCGCCAGATAAGTCTCAGAGCGAGGACAGGCCTACTTTATTTCGTGTTACTTTTAACAGGACAGTTCCACCAGATGTCTGTGGAATGTTCTCACTGGGAGCCCTGGGTTGCACAAAGACATGAAACATTAGTAATCACAAACATGATTATGAACTACATGTCAAAAAATTACCAAAAAAAAAAGGAATTAAAACAACCCAAACTTTCTCAATTTAAACTGACTAGGCCTGTGTATAGATTTTAAATATAAAAATTAAATGGTACATTAATTCATTGATTTAAAAGTCAACTCTTAAGAAAAACTTGCGGATGCGGCGAGGTAAGTGCGGAAAAGGTACAAAAGGGGCCTAAATCTTTCTTTTTCAGCAGAAAGCCTGCGGACGATTATCGCGCGCCGTCTATAGGTTTACATAAAATGTTAACGTGGTCATGTATGTACACCGAACGTTGCTAATTGGATTCCAAAAAAATACTAGACAGCTTTCGAAAGAGAAACAGAATATAGGCTCTTAATTTGCATGGACACTGGATAGGCCTACATGACATCTTGCTGTTGACCATTCTGAGAAATACGGGTCAACGTGTGGAACACCGACCGTTCATTTCAGGAACCTGCAAGGAATGATGGGGCACGGTAATCAGTAACCACTCAAGTATACAGTGAAAAAAACTAAAATCGAGAATTTTGAAAGTAAAACTTATACATTATGGATTTCAACAATTGTTAATTAATGTTTACTTATGGACTCTCATTCTGCAATAATTTCACAGCCATGTTACTTTTGTGTTAGGTTAGGGGCATTGCGTTAAAGCTTTTTACGATATATTTTGGAATGGGTATCTAACATGCTATTGCGCACGCCCGTATTTCGTTGACTCAACGGGGTACCCGGTTCCCCTATACGGCCCCTCAATGCACACCCCACCTTGAAGTTTTTTTAAAATAAAATTAATGAGGGCAGGGACTCGTAAGGTTGAACTTAACGTTAACTAACGGTGCTCTTACACAATCACGCCATCAGATCATTTTAAACTTATCAATTACAACAACACAAGCGTGGAGTTCCCCCGATGCCCCGTTGCTGGGCTACGACACACGGCGCAAGTTATTTGGAAGCGAGGGGAGGACCGGATCATGATCGGTACCGGGTATTTGTCGAAGTCGGGGCATAGAACAGGACGGTAAGCAAAGGAACCTCAAGTTAACACGTGCAGCCATAGTGTTGGACACAATTTCTTACTAGAGTGAACGGTGAGCCACATAGGCTACGAAGAAGAAAGTATTGCTGACAAATATGATAGTTTGATGTAGCAGACATAATCCTAGTTTCATAATTTTTCAACACAGGTAAACTTATGGATTGGTTGAGATTTCTCTAAACGCACCATGTTCATCAACTTGAAACTATGCTAAGCAAGATATTAATATTCAGTGACACTAGAGCGGATCCAGGGGTTTCTGGAACTTTTGAAGGGCGTGTTAAACGCTCCAAGTTGGAGGGGTGCCTGAATATATGCGAGCCATTTATAGGAGAATTTCTGTTTTTTTAAGTTCAGTAAACAGCTGGGGCAAATGAATATGCGTCTCCCTCAAGATACACATAAATAATCGAAAATCAGGGCGGCGGGAGAGCCCGGATGGCCCCCATCGACGGCCATCTGGACCCGTTACTGTTTGATTTGGTAATTCAATTGACTTTGCTTGAATAAATAATCATCGGCCAGTGGAAATATAGGCACATCTCGAGCAACGATGATTTTGTCCAGCTTGCCTATCAACCATGTCTGCACTCCGTATACCTTTTCCCGAGTGCCTTGAAACGACACGGCAATTTCCACGCTGCGAATTCGATTGCAAGACTTTGCGTGTGGAGCGCATCTCTGTTCCGCCAAGCTAACCACTGCTTCTACTTTTTAAGGAAATTTCCTGAGGAATTTTCAAAGAAACTGCAGAGCGTGAAGAAAATTTAAGGAAATCGAAAATATATAGGATAATTGGGAGAATATTTTAATGACAGGCAGAATGAAAGAATACGGATTGCCGGAGTAATTATTAAAAAAAAATACATTATTTTGTATCCAAAATGATAAGCCTGATGAGGCCTCCAGCAAGGGGTGAGAAGACTTGAGGCCAGACCATGGAAAAGAACTAGAACGACAGGCCCATTTCTAAAAAATAAAGCAAACGCAGCTGTAACAGAGACTATCTTTGAGGAAACTAAGTACCTTATTCAAAATATCGATTTTGTCATATCAGCCTAATGAATTTCAGTTGCAATGCAACGTGTACCAACTTTTCATGAAGTCATTTCATCTACTTTGCATTCATGTCACGATGGAGCAAGAACGGTTGGAAAACATGCCCATGTCACTCCGACAAAAACACAGGTGGAAACTTGGTACTCTCCTTGCTTTTAAAAAAGAAAACGACCAATTGTCTTAATACCCAACACCTGAATCGATTCAGAACTCTTTTCGGTGGGGGGAGGGAGGGAATTTAAAGGAACTCATGATAAGGAGGGCATTACATACAAACACAGACACAAATGGGACATAAATGACAGGATTTCTTTGTAAACATGCGGACCAGCGACATGGCATTTAATCTTCATGTGCTATTCAAGGTCCTGGGACAGGCAACGCAAAGGTGGACGGTCGCCATATGGATACTCTGCTCACACGAGTTTCAATGCATGCAAACTGTACGATTACTGGCTTTTACAACAGTGTCATAAGTTCGGTAAGTATGGAAGGGGCACCGATGTCAAGTGACACCCCCCCAAAAGCTGTCTCTGCGCCCCCTTGAAATGAAAAAAAAAAAGCTATACAAAAGCTGCAGTCCATATGCATTCCATGCCTCCTTGAGAGTTTTACTGTCCCTCGGACATACTCGGTTGGTCAATTCACAGGGTAACCACAGGACGCAATGGTGTTGACCACTGTAAACGTGCGAGGGATACATGCACCCACACCATTAGCTGCAAAAGCACTTGGTGATATCTTTGCTGTTGCGACTGTTACACTAACATCTGGCCACGGAAGACGCCATGCCGTTATGGCTGCCAATTTGACTGAAACTGTTCCCCTGCCCACTAAGTCACCCAGCTGTCTGGATAGTCAACACCCACACGCTACCCCTGGGCATCGTGTACAGATCTCCTCAACTGTCCTCTTCGTTTCCCCCGTCTGGGAAGTAACGCTCGCGGATCCGCTCGCAGAATTGCATCAGGTTGTCGTGCTTTCTGACGATGTCGGCCAACTTGGCGCTGGTCAGCTCAGTGTTGAGCAGGTTGTGCAGGTGGGCAAAGACCAGTGCATCAAGTTCTGTTGGGCTGAAGGAAAACAGGACAAATAAAATCAACTGATTTTCCCCATGAAGGTAAGAGCGGATCTAGAACCCTTTTTTCCGGGGGGGGGCAATATTGTTTTTGAGATTTGGATCTGCCAATGTATGAAAGCCACTGGCAGATGACTGAAGTCATTTCCCATACATGTGCACGACACGGTTGGCCGGCCAACTTCTTACAAAGTTATATCAGAGATGGCCAGCTCAGATACAATGCACATCGCTCACAATGAACCCAAAAAAGTGCCGGAGACAAAGAGACCGTTTTCCCTGTTCGAAGTAGGGTAGAGACAAAAGGAGGGCGCTGTTCATTGTGAGTACTAAAAATGAATACAAAAGTTTTGGCCAATCAAACACAGCCCCATCAAATGCTTTTCCTGGTATTTCAACAGGAGACACCCAGTGTCATGGATTTCTGGGATTGCTCACCGATCCATAAAGAAGTAATACTGATCCTCCAGCTTGTCTGACAGGGCTTTACAGCACAGGTCTACCTCTGTGTACACCTGAAGCAAAGGAAAACCGAGGTTGAGATGAGTGCACAACCAAGACAGTAAGCAAGAAAAACAGAATTCTAGTAAAACAGAGAGTACATGTTATCAACCACACTGCTTCGTTTTGTATTAGGCTTTTAATCAGAACTGGTAAAATATGCAACACATTCCAAATTGTGACAGGCAGCTCTACCAAGGAAAGATTGAAAAGCAGGCTGTCCAGAAACGTTATTCTTCCCATAACCAAGGCTTAATTTCACAGCCAAAAATACCGCTACCCAAATTTTCTTGTGCAGCAGAAATCAGCTGGGGGCCAGTGACAAGCCACAGGCATTGTACGACAGCCTGGCTGGTATCATGCTTTTGCTACACAGTTTATTTTTTTCAAATAACCGAATTTGCTATGAAGACCAGTTCTCAAGACTTAAAAGCTTAGCCTGTGGTAGTCAGTGTTGCAGTGACACCAAGAAATAATCTCTTTCCACTCTACTGCTCTGTGCTGAAGAATCAGAGGTTTTTACTCCATGTTTTGACAGTTCTACTGCAGTCATCTTCGATTCACCCCACTATCAATGAGATTGATCCACGGAGGCACCTGCAATTTCTCCATCCAGGCAAAATCTTAGATGCAATGTCAGACAAACCTAACTAGCATTTGAAGGACCCCTTACACTTGGTTTGGTTCCATGATCTCACCTGGTTGATTGTCTTGTCGTACCAACCCTGGGCCTGCAGGTACGTCTCTACTTCCCGCTGCTTGAGCCAGGGTAGGATCTTGTTCAGGGGCCATGAGTAAGGGGAACCATACCGCACTTTGGTAATCTCCTCCGCAGTCAGCTTGTCCCGCCAGGTGACGTAAAGCTAGCCAAAATGAATATGACACAACGAATCAAATATTAACTGCCTTCCATACAGGGTTGGTAAAACTGTCATGAGCCTGATCCAAGCTGCATATGCGTGTAAGTTAACTGCCATTTACTTCAAGGAACTGTACTCTTCTTCCCGGTGTGAAGACTGTTTGACATCTTGAGTTACGTGAACAGAACGGTGCACTTTTTCAAACATTAAAACTTGACCAAGCATTTCTGGACAAGTGAGGGCGCTTTTGCTTTGTTGTAAATCCAGGAAGACATGGTTCAGGTTGCATGTATTCATGTTCAAATTGTGAATCCCAAATTTGCTATCTGGGAACATTTCTGTGAAAAGGATTTTTGCTGGATTATTGCCATATACTTACACAGCAGTAAACTGCCACAAAAAATAAAATCTGTCATGGCAGTGGTTAAAAAAATCTAAAATTTTTCTGTGCACAAATCAGTGTGACAATGAGATGCCTTGGATGACATCATAGTTCTGTTCATGAATATACAAATATGCATTAGCATAAATCAAAAACATCAAAATATGGGTTAAAACTGCAAAACAAAAATTTTAAATCAGGTTAATTGAAACCCAAAGATGCAATTTCAAGGGTGTTTTAGTAAAATTTATAAAAAATATTTCTATTTCCTGGTTCCTTTCAAGAATTCAATATATTTTGAGTACCCACAAGGTGGAGTTGCAGTTGAGTCTATTTCAAGTCCTTGCAAATTCAGTTATGTTCTTTTTCACGTAAACTCACAAATGGATTAAGAGAAAAGGGTATTTTTGGGTCGCTACTCACCAGTTACTTGTGACTGGTCTTATGAAGGGGAAGTGTGACTGGACTTGTTAATGAACCTGCAACTGACTCGACTATGACACGGTTGGAATGACCATACTCACCTCCGCTAAATATAACCTGTTGACGGTCAGTGACATGTACGCTTTCAACAGCGCCCTCTGGGAGCCGCTGAGTTCTCTGGACAGATTCACCCCCTGTCAAAGCATCATAGCAAATCCTACTGAGACTCGTACTGCCAGAATACATAACACAGGCTCACAAACTGAACTCCACTCCCCAACAGGGGTCAGAATAAGGCCAAATATTCAGATTAAAAACAAGACACAAAAATGAACAGAATACACAAAGTATCTAGCTCTTTGCATCAAAATGAGACAGAAACAGATGAAAAGAATTTACGCCAACATCACAAACTAAACACATGATTCAGAACTTGTGCTGAGCTTGACTGGTGAATATTACTACATGTATGGCCACTCAGAACAGAATTTTGGCTTGTCTCAACTGAAAAGCTGGAGGTACTCTCAGGGTTGAATAAATCAGATCCCAAGGATATGCCCTACTCATGTAGCTGTGAACAGTTCACTGTCAGCAGGAAAATAAACCTGCTGAGATTAACAGAAAGCCAAACTCCCTGAACACACTTGCTTGGACTCACCTTGAGTGACAAATGGTCTACTATCGGCTCAAACTCAGAGATGATCTGCGGTCCCATTTTGATGAACGGCAAACCCCCTGAAGCGAGAACAACACAACCATAGAAGGCCGTGAGGGGGGGGGCCACAATGCTGAGCATTTAGCAGTTTGTCCACTGATGTCTCAGGATCATTCGGACGCTATCTCATGAAAATCAAAGTAAATTCTTTTGAAGGGAGGGAGGTGTGAATCACATTCCTTTAACCTTCACCAACTCCTTACAGATGTCATGTACATGTACTGTTCTTGGCACTGATTCCAAGTTCACTCCAAAAGGATTACCAACCCGCATGTACATGTAAATTGCATGGAAAAGATAAGGGTTGGGAATGTAAACTCTACCCCCCTTTGCATGAACACCTTTGGGGGTTCAGGTGACATTAGAATCCCTCCCACAATTGTGTTAAGTCATGTGACATGCACACCAGCGTACATGTAGTTATATGAATGCTTTAGGTGCGAGACTGAACTGAATATCTTTTGGTGTTATGTAGTGTTAGATACTGAATGGGTAGAATCGAGTCTGTCCGGTGTCAAATACAAACCGGAAGGTGACATCTGTTCGGCATTGGAGCGCATCTTCAGGTGGAACTTGACATTGCACATGTGCAGAAACGTCTTGACGGCCAGACACTGGGTCTCTTCTGGAAGGAGGATCTGATCCACTACAACCAACGAGGCACAAAATAGGGGTCAGCATCACATTAAGCTGGAAGATAACCAGCTGTGGTGGTTGGTGAGACCTTCAGTCTCCGAAGACTGAAAGGATTTGAAGCAAGGAAACGTCCATGCAAAATTGTATCAATGCTTTCTTCAAACTGGCCACTGAGACAAACTCTCCATATTAACCCCTTGACGACAGGAATTTCTTTCTGAAAGCCGACTACAAGAATTCCAGCCTCGCTTGGCCACGAAGGCCACCTGCCAAACCGCAAATTCTCGGTCTGCGGCCCTGCATGCTCTGCACACTTTGAATAACATGGTGAAAAGGCTGATTGTTCGGTGGCATGCGGCTCTATTCACGCTTCCACATTCCCTTTGCATCTTTTCAAAGTGGGGACTATTGTGAAGCTGGTGATTATGATGCAAGTTTGGTCTTTTCATTTCTACACACAAAGGCCAATCACCATATATACAAGAGCCAGGGTCTGACTTCTTTCACCGTGTTTGCTCAAGCGAGGGCCGAGAATAATAGCTGAAAAGCTGGCTGAGGATCTCAATTTTTACGGCGTGTCTAGCCGCTTCCCGGCGCAAAGGGGTTAACACATACCAGTATACACAAAGTGATTGTATGTGAAATATACAAGTGTTGTAGCTGAGTCTGTCTTGAGCAGTATTGCATTCAAGTCCATCACAAGTCCTCTCACAAGTCCATCACAAGCCCTCTAACAAGTCCATCAAAAGTCCTTTCACAAGTCCATCACAAGTCCTCTCACAAGTCCTCTCACAAGTCCATCACAAGTCCTCTCACAAAGCAAGTCGTCAGTAACTGTGTGAACACTGACAAAGGCCTGTGACTACCTTGACTTGCCACTGTATGACTCGTGATGGACTTGCGATGGGCTCGACTAAAAAATTGGTCTCGAGTCCGAGAACATTCATTCGAGGCTAGATACAAGTCATCCAGGTCCATTTTGGGTCACACGCCATCCACATGACTTGTGACAAAGGCATCCAATTGTCACAATTGATTCTGTAAAAGTTTTATTGTGACCTGTAGACTGACTCATGATTGACCTGTGGCATGACCAGAGAGGGACTCCACTACTGCAAGGGGCGATTTGGATAGAGCGGCTCCTAGGTGAAACTAACCTTGATGTTGCTGGTAGAGTTCCACATAGTCTGCAATGATGGGCTGATCCCCTACAGTCAACATAGCCAGTGCAGAAAATTAAGAAGTTAGTAAATTCAACAAGTATCTTTTTGAAGTTGGCAAGTTTGATTGCCCTTAATGTGAAATGTTTTTGACAAAATGGATGCTTATAAAGTCTTTTTGGTCACTTCTACCATGTCTACAGGTGCTTCTATGAAGTTGCATCATTCTCAATTGTTCTAAAAAGGAAGGAAAATTGGGGTTGTTTTCCCTCCCAATTCCAGAAAAGAAATTTTTGGGGATAACTGCTCTGAGCAAAGATCATGCAGTGACATACTAGGCAGTCCTTATGTTATCCACAGAATGGCTCATCAATCCTTCAATTCTGTAAAAACAAGGGTCGCAAAAGGAAATGTTGGACTGAAGAAAGAGTTCCATACACAGAAATCACTTGACACCCTATACACAAACCTTAAGAGACTGATCTGTAAAACTGTAAATATTTTCTACGAAAAGGCTTCGGCATTTTCCTTGCAAAATTTGACCCCTTAGGACATGTTATCATTTTTTGATGATTGATTTACTACTAAGTGATGTCTGTAGTCTGACCGATTTCAATTTTTGGCGAATTTGGGTTTTTAGCATGTCCTTGTTACGTATGATGAAATCTTTATTTTCTAAACATTTCAAACTGATACATGTAGGTGCTCTGAAAATCTAATTAAACTACTTTGGGTAATCAAAATATTGACCTTCCTCTCTGAAATTTCACATAATTATTTCATGGACTGACACATCGAAATACCAGTAGGTCACTTTGTGAAATGTGTGGACAACGCTGTTTTATTTCCACAAAGTGACTTACACAGTCTAGTATCTGGACCTTAGGCGTTACACTATGCATTTTTGACTTGAATCACTTGGAACCAGTCTTCAGCGCTGTCACAAACAACGGCGGCGTACAGGTGTCATTTGGTGGCTGAATGTTGAACCTTAATTTCAACCGAGTTTCTGTTTCTGTAAACGTCTGGAAGTATATTCCTTGTTTTATATTCTGATATTCAAAACAATCGTGAAGGGCATTCCTGCTCGCGATGGCACAAAATGCTGAGCTAGGGGTATTTGTGTGGTCAGTTACAGCAACGATACATTTTTATGTTAGCATTCAATGCCAAATTGTGGGGTCAGGTTTTTTATGATGTTTCAGTCGTTATGTTCATGATTCAACTCTAAACTCCCGCCATGTTACAGTTAAAAAGAAGCTGCAATGAACTGTAACAAGCTATATTCAGTTGCCATGTTTCTGGTTAATACTGCAGAACATGCAAAAACTTAAAGAATTGTTTGTTACACACTGCAAATATAACAACACTGGACATGACAGACACTCTGATTGATTCTCTCGTCGATTACATTTTCATGTAAAAAATCATACAGAACTTTTGTGTCCATTCCTAAATTGGAATTAACAAAAAGCTGTTTATTACTAATAATGCACTGACTCACGTGCAGTATTTTGCCTCAGGATTTAAGGGGAAAATTTTGAGACTTAAAAAAAGGGCATTTGTCAAACTCTCTTAACGTAAGCCAAGATTTTTTTAAAAAGTGACCCTGGCATTTATTTTTTTACATGTATTTCCCCTCAGAGTTTTGATGTACAGCAGTGCTGGCATTCTGCATCACTGAACTGGGAACTCTTCTCCACCTGTTACCGTACTCACTTCCTTCACTAATGTCATTTAAAAGTCGCTGATGCCCTATAAAATGATTAAGAGACAACTCCGATATTTGGTCTACTTCCTTGACTAATCTCATTTGAAAATCGCTGGTGACCTTAAAGGTCAACAGAAATTGAAAATAGGCCTTTTTAGTTCACGTGAAGTATTTCAAAATAACAATAAATATACAACCATTTAAAAACATCATCAATTCCATGTTTACCCCATTAATCTTGACCCCAAAATGAATAAAAAGATCCTGCATTTCTCCACCAACAAAAAACCCCTTTTGGCCATTTGTGCTCCCAGGCTGATTTGATGACGTCATCGGCAGAACGCCTACATGCATGATTGTACACAGAACACGCAGTATCCCAGACTTCCAGTAGACCACACTGTGTTTGATGTACATGTACACATAGCTTGGTCCACAGGCAAACACTGTCTCAGTTCAAGAAATACACAGTTTTTGACAGTGGGACTGTGTCTCTTCATTTCTACTTTCAAATCGAGAGTGTTTGCCTGTTGGCCAAGCTACATCGAACACAACGTGGTCAATTGCAAGTATTTTTGTTCTATCAAAACATCACATTAATGTTGAAGAAACATGACATGGGAAGTTGAAAATTGAACCGCAGAAGAATTGACAGGCTGATATAGGTGATGCACGTCATTCTAAAACTAAAAAAGGGAGTGAATCAGTGTATATTTGGGACCCCCTTTTTTCATTTTTGTAAACTGGTCAGTCCCCCCAAAACTGTGAAAATATGCCTGAAATAAAAAAAGCCAAACTCTACATAAACTGTACCATCATTACCTCTCGACATGATTTCAGCAGCTTGCCTTACGAGAGGAGTTGTCATCTTTCGCTCATCAGTCAGCAGCGAGGTAGCTGCGTGCGCGAAACCTTAACCGGCCCGATTGCGATGACGACCCGTGCTTCGGGCCTCCCTTTCCATCTCGTCGCTTGTTGCTCTAAAACCCATGAACTAAAATGTGCTGTTTGCTGTTTTCTTTTCAGCGGCTTAGGGACTGTCGATTTTGTTCATCATTTTCACCAGCGTGCTGAAAGTACTCGGTTTTTCTGAACAGGATTGTCTAACATCATGTAGATCACTCGCCTCGATGGAAAAAACTTCCTTTCAATCTTCCACTTTACCCTTTTCAATGTTAAAACAAGTTTGTAATATAAACCTACATTATTTAAACTTTTTAAGCAAGAGGTACATGGTAAAAACAAAATGTAAAATTGATTTCAATAAAATATCGGATTTAATTAAACTTTTAGAGATCATGATTTCTATCAACCTGATTCCTTGACCCCTTTCCAGTGTTGTAACGAGTTGATAAATTTGGTGACTCGAGTCGAGTGATTTTATTGTGACTCAAGTTGAGTCGAATCACTGATTAGGTCAAGAAGTCGAGTTGAGTCACTTTGTGTAGTCGAGTCGAGTAGAGTCCTACCGAGCTCGATTCAGTTTGAGTCCCAAATTTTTGAATAAAATACAATAAAAACACAATTCCATGTAAGTAATATTTTGGTACTTTTATTTTCATTTAAACAGACTGAAAATGAATAAGGTAACAGGCATCTAGTCAACTAAAATTTTGCTTTTATTTTTTTTGAGACTCGAGTCTCATAAGCTTGCACTCAAGTCGAGTCTCCATGGAAGATTTGAGTCGAGATGAGTCATTTGGTCGTAGAGACTCGAGTCGAGTCATTGACATTCAGAGTAAACTGGATTTATCTATTTATGCTACACACTGCTCATTGATACTTGGTACCTTTATTAAGATAGGAAATCAATCAAATATTGTTTTTATTTCGTAAGCTATATGGATCTTTCTAGAAATTAGGGGTCCATTTTTTTCGTGTGCCTGTCACATCTGGCATATTGTATGTTCAGAACACATTCTGTAATTCCAAGAGTGATGAATGAATTCATGCAAATTACCCACCAAGCAAATAAAAGTAGTTTGAAGTAGTAGTAGTTTTTAGTGATATTTCCATTAAAGAATCACACATGTAATGTGTAACAGGGACACAGAAATGTCACACTTTTGGATCCCGAATTTTTGAATGACCCATATCTACTTCGGCAATTGTGTTTAATTCCGGTGTCACTATGACGCAATACTTCATATCCTGCTAAGGCATGGATTTTAATCTGGCGACATGATTTTTCTCTGGTACCCTATGTTATCACGCTTACAGAGAAGGGATGGCGGCGGTGGGGTACTGTGCACGTCTCTGAGATGACAATGCAGTACTGGTAACGGAATGTGGTATATTCGTACCGGTAATCCGCATGTGGATGCAGGTGTTCCGTTCAACGTTCATTCTCTACTAAAGCAGGATGGTGGAAGGTGGTTCCAAGAAACGGCCCTTCTCATCGTCATTCATCTCAGCAACTTCTGGTGAGTATCTAACTTGGACTGGTTAGGCCTACAAAGTTTTCACAGGTGATCCATTTTGGTCAAACTGTCAGTCAGCATGCGCCGCGCCGGCTCAGCTGATGTCTATGATCAGCCTGTGATTTTTTTGACCGTAGGCCTAGCCCAGGTTGGACGACGTCTACATTACATTGCGACTAACCATGCTAACGTCCAGATTATGAAAGTCCTTAAACTATGTGAAATTTTTTTCAACACTTTTTTCTCACATTTTTACCTGACGAAGACAGCTCAAAATGTTCTTGAGTGCCTTGTGGGCCTATCCTGAATTCCATAAATGCTGTGTGGAAATTACTAAATATGCCCGCGAACAACTGTTTTGGAGGAAATTCTGCGAAACTCCACGCTTTCCGTCGCAATTTCTTAATTAACGACCTATGTTTGTGCGTTAGTATGCATTTGCGCGTGCTTGAAATGGCCTCCAAGCTCAACCCTCATTCTGTCAGTTATGCAGGTTGTCTAGAGCTAGGTCTAGGTCTTTGCTCCATTACAAATACGTGGAGACGCGTAGACAATAGACCTAGCCGTATCTTCGCGAGCCTGTTCGGACACGGCCTCATCTGCGACTTCATAATGCCTACCGCTCCTCCACACGTGCGTAAGGGACACTCCGTTACCATGCATTTTGCACGTGTGAGTACCCGTGCTAGACAAACGTGTACTGTACATTATGTCAGGTACATGTATGTAGATCGCAAATCGCAATGGAAAGCGTGGAGTTTGGCAGAATTTCCTCCAAAATACATTGTTTTCAGGCATATTTAGTAATTTCAACACAGCATTTATGGAATTCAAGATGCAAGGCACTTGTGAACGACATTTTGAGCCGTCTTCATCAGGTAAATGCCACTGGAACTGTGCCATTATTTGGCCAGCCCCACTATGGCACTATAGTTTGGACTGTCCTTTACGTTTCCACGAAATTGGGTTTATTGATTCTACCTTTCTTATTGCTACGTGTACATGTACTTTCAATCAGTAGACCATCCAAAACATTCGTCCATTCTCTTAGAACGGGTTCCCTGAACAAGGGTCTTGAAGGGGGCCATGGAGCCGAAGGAACGGCAGATTCGCATCCTGGAGTGGGACGACCTAGACAAGCGTAAGTTCTACACCTTTGGCTTCATGATGAGCATGTTCATCCGTGTCACCATCTACCCTACCACCTTGATCAAGACCCGGCTGCAGGTGCAAACCAAGAATGCCATGTACTCGGGGACGTGGGATGCCTTCAAGAAGATTACCAAGTACGAGGGTGTGCGGGGGCTGTACAAGGGCTTCCTCATCAACACGTTCACCATCCTCTCCGGCCAGGTCTACATCACCACCTACGAGGTCACTCGGCGGGCCTTCGGCAACCATGCCAGCAACACGACCAAGTCATTTGTGGGCGGGGCCTGCGCCTCCCTCGTCGCCCAAAGCGTGACCGTGCCCATCGACATCATCTCGCAGCACGTGATGATGGAGGGCTCTTCGTTGAGCTTGGAGGCAGGCCGGCGAAAAGTAACGTTCAGAGATGCTCAGCGAATCATTCATAATATATGGCACAAAGACGGACCCATTGGATTCTACAAAGGGTACACAGCTTCCATAATGACTTTTATGCCCAATAGTGCACTTTGGTGGCCTTTTTATCATTTTTATGCAGGTAAGTTGGAACAGGTGAGAAATGCAATGCATAGTATATGGTCAGAATGTGTGAATTTTATGGCATCAGTTATATGACGCATGTTTGTCTTGCCTGTACATGTACTCTGTCTAGTTTATGTCAATATTACCAATATCTCTGCTGTGTAGTGAGAGAGCTTTATGGTAGAGGTGTGCTTTTATGGGGTTTTCATTTCCCATGTGGGTATACATGGGTTTCACCCCAACTGCTTATAGAAACCCGAACCCAGACAAAGACATTATTACCAGTGGGTGATTTTCCTGCAAAGAGCTCTATAGGAGGTACATGTATATGTATCCTTTCATTCCTTTGAGACACAGATCTAGCAGGTTTTTTTCAACACACAGAAACAGGTTTTTAGCTAAAGTGTAAAAAAACATATTTAGTGTATCTGTGTTCTTCCTTTCTGGATGGGGTGTGCATTGAAATTTTTTAAAAATATGAAAAAAATTATATAGTGTACCTGCCTTCTTCCTTTTGGATGGAGGGGCATGTTGAAATTTTGAAAATTTTCTCTGCCATAGAAAAGTTGGGAATAGTTCAAAAAGGCAAAATCGTTAACCAATCAATCAGCTACAAACTTACTAAACAAACTATCAAAACCATGATCAAATTCTCTTGTTCAGCATGCCTCTTTCAGTTATGTGTCTTTGATGTTTGAATTTGGAAAGTGAAAACACCACTGGTTGTTTTGAGATTTTAAAAAGTGTGGCTGCCATCTTAAAAATATATATAAAAAAAGCTCCACCTCTTTTTTTTTCAAAACCCGGACGCTAAACATGTTAAGCTTTATTTGTTTCAGAACTCATGAATGTGACGAATGTTTTAGATATCGTGCGTGTAGATGTATTGGACAAAGGACAAGTACTTGTAACGTGGAGAAAAATGAAGTAGAAATGGGCACTTGCCCTTTTTGTTAAGCAATTGGGTGTCAAAGTGCTCATCACAAACCTCGCATTACTCTGGTGTTGGAGAAGGGTTTGCTGGGCTGGGGATTAACCACTGGCAGAGGGCGTTATTTTTACTGAAAAACCTAAGAATGCAAGATACATATGTATGTCCACGTTTAAAATACAGCCGATCAATGCCACATTGACTCTTGAGAGTAATTGCATACCTGTAGATCAGAATTGGCTTGTGGTTGGAGACCCCTCATTTTGCTTCGTCACTAATGAGGCACTGTGCAGTGTGGTAGTCGAGTTTATCACATGTCTTTTCACATGTCCAGTCACAGACTTCCTTTCACAAGGCCAATCTAAATTACAGGGCAATGAAAAGGGAATGATTTTATCATGGTTCACTTGAATAGCTTGTGACTTGTCTTGTGACTGAGTGACCTGGCAGGGACCTGCTGGGACTTAAAATGGACTCCACTACCAAACTGGTATAGTGTAAGAGCTTTGTATGAAGAACCACATCAAAATCAAAAGTCATTCTCTCTAATATAGATCTGCAAAATTGTTCTCATTCACAGAGCAGCTAGCTTTATTACTGAATGCCTCATTACACTTGTCAGTACCTGCCGTGGCAATCCAGGCGATGTCTGGGCCCTTGGCAAGCGCCTCTGCTTCCGTCATTACAAACCCAATGGACATCGTTAGAACTAGATTACAGGTACATTGTAAGATACGAGTCCAGCAAGGTTGGAGGGGATGTGTAGTAACGGGGTTTTTAAAATAATTTATGTGGTCAACTTGTGCTCTAAATCTGAAAGGTGATCCAGTTACGGGCTTATACAAAAACATTGTCATCAACTTTAATATCAACTGATCATTGCAATATTTGCACTGAATAGCATCAATCGAGAGCAACATCTTCATAGAATTCAGTTTTGGCCCAAGTCAAGATTGAGTTTTTCGGTCCACAACAATTCTTGACATTTTTTAAAGGGTCCAAGAGGCAAAGTTTACTTGGGCACATATTTTGTGGACACATTTTTGTAAATTATATTCAAGTATTCAACCTTGCCTCCAGTTACAAAGTACTCACTAATGCATTTGTTTTTGTTGTCTGTTTTTTCCTCAAGGTCACCGGGGGTACCTCCATTTTAGGGACCTTCAGGAGACTTCTTCAGGAGGAGGGGATATCAGGTTTCAAGAAAGGGCTTTCAGCCCGGCTTCTGTCCACCATTCCGGCTGGCTTTGTCATCGCCGTCTCCTACGAAACTCTCAAGAGGCTGAGCATCAAGCCGGAAGTAGCCGACAAGGTCCAGTGGTGAGGTGGGGTGTCGCCTGGCTGCCACTCTGGTATCAGTGTATCAGGGAAAATGTTGTATGTATCAAGACTGCCCTCCTGAAATTATACGGCCGTAATTTTCCCCACACAGGTCTTGTTTTTTCTTTAAATTTTGTTATTTGTGAAGTAAGAATTTGATAAAAAACTTCAGTGTAATTAGCTACATTTTCACCATTCAAAGTTCAACAGCACAGTCTTTTTTTTTTTTGGCCCTAATAGTGGTGGAAATGTGACGGCTACTGTTGACTGTTGAAATTTTGATGACATTTTCTTTTCTTTGACGTCAGCGAGGAACCTTTTTCTCACTTAATGCCTGCTTTTTGGTGGGACGGGCGGCGGCAACTTGGTGGGACGGGCGGCGGCAACTTGGTGGGACAGGCGGCTTTTATAGCCAGTCCATGCGAGGTGCTGGCCTCTACTTTGTTCTTGTGACTAGACTGCTGAGGGCGCTGTCTGTAATCCAGGATTGAAGCCAATACAGCAGCCTTGGGATAGAGCTTGAATTGCCAAATACAGAAAGCCCCCCCCCCACAACAACAAAAAAAAATGCTTTGACAAAAAATCATTTCCATGTGTTTTGCTCAAGAAACGTTAATGGTGGTAATAGTAAACCCAAACTGTCATTTTATGAAAACCGTACCCCTTAATCTTTTGGGCATTTTTGCACGGGTACATGTACATTCAGGAACACTGGGTAGAGCCGCAGTATTATACATTCATCTCTTCGTTTTCTTGTCGAGGGTTGGTCTCTGTGTAAAGGGATTCTAACAAAGACTGTGAGAATCAAGAGAATTTGTAATAAGCAATACTAAATCTGAGATAGCACAGCATTCTTATTGAAATCATTCATTGAAACTAGAATGAAATGAATGACGGGAGTACATTAGCCTTTCCACTTAACGTGGAAGGCCGGAGTTGGAAAGTTGTCTAAATTTTCCATGTTTATTTTTGGAAACTGAGTTTATAGTCCACATGTGATGAAGTTGCTATGTGGGTAAAGCTGCAACTGAAGCTACAATTGTTTGCAATTACTGTAATTTTTTTTAGCAATTTGGGTTTGGAAGTGTGATATTGTTTAAAAACTTTGAAGTTTGCCCTGCATCTAGCCACTGGCAATAATTCATTTTAATATCAATTTTTGATTCACTCCTTTCAAAAATTCCTTTCCCTCAAACTGTTGATCATAATTCACAACCAGAAAGGCATCGTTGAAGATAAAAGATTATATAGGCTAGAAAAGAAAGCAAAAGTCAAATTACTTGTTGAATTGTCCAGTCCGTAAAAGACTCATGCACTTCAAGATGCCCATCAGAAATGAAAAATGAATGCATTGTTTCTGTCTTCCAGTTATCGCATTTATGACTTAAAATTGTAATTCTCATTCAAAGTGCATCAAAGTGACTGACACATGTCCTTTACTTAAAAGTCCTTCCAGTCAATGTTCGACATCATTGTTCCCATGTCATTTAGTACCGTGTCATTTCCTTTTTATTATTGAAATGGAAGTACTATACTCCTGTCTATAACCCCAGAGAATCACTTGCATTTATCAGAGACAGACCTACTTAAAATTGTCGAGGGAGGTCTGAACAGGGAGCATGGATGGGGCTTAATGCACAAAAATATCAAAATTAAAACTAAATTTCCTCCAATGAATTCCTGGTTAAGTCTTCACCAGATTCTGTGCTCAGAATTCCAAATTTCACCGGTGTTAGTCCCACTTTGGTCAGTTTGGTTCCTTGTTCAGCCCTTCCTTGAAATTTAGCAATTGTAGTCATTAGCCACATGTCCTCACAAGTATTCTGATGTCCTCACATGTCCTCAAGTCTGTCACCACTGACCTGTCACTCACAGCACCAGGGCTACCAACATTGAGTGAGAGTTTATCTTTGGCATGCCGCAAGCTGGTTTCAAACCCCACCCGGTATCCTTGTACATGTATGCATGGAAAATGCATATGGCATGGCCGCTGTGAAAGCAGTCAATCGAATTGTTTATTTTCCATCAGAACAAAGGCTTGCAACCCGGAAACTTTTTTCATGGCTTGTATCACAGGAGAGGGCAAAAAAATGTTGAGCGAGTAACTTGTTTTTTAAATATGACTTTTTAAAACTTGTTTTTACTTCTTCAGTGCTTCAGTTTTTATGTTTTTGAGCTTCAGTATTCCCAGTCTCGTGTGAGAGCATGAGTGTAACCTGAAATTTGTGAGTTTCTCTCACAGTGGGAGAGCTGGCAGGCCAAAAATGTTAGACTTGTCTCAGGTCACAAAGGGCAAGTGTGATCATAGTTAACCATAGTTTGACTAACGCTGATCAAACACACACCATTGGATGAAGGTTGGACTACCACTGGTTGCCATAAATCGTTTTTAATAGCACAGTGCAGAAAGGACCAGTTACAAGAAAAATGCCGGAAAAACGACCATTTTTACTTTTAATTTTGCCCTTTCTGTAGCCACGTTTTCTCCCTTTCGGCCTAATGACCTGACACGGTTGACTAGAGTCGTTTGCACTTATATTTCACTGCACATGTGCTAGGTACATCACTAGTTAACTAGTAGTCCTTGATCGGACTTGTTCATTTTTGTTCAAATGAACCACGACAAAGGCATTGCTCATCTACATGTAGACTTGTGACTAAACTATACAGTGACGACTCAAACCCATACCCACAGTACAGTGGGTATGGGTTTGAGTGGTCACTGACTTGTGACCCACCTGACACAAAGAAGTCAGGCTTTACTGTGCATTTCATCATGAGGCTATTAAAGTGTGCGGCCCTCCCCTTTTTATCAATGTCTCTCTTTTATCAATATCTCTCTGTTTTTCCAACCTACACTCTTCATTTGGGTTGAGGATGTGTTACGGTTCTTCACTCATGTTTTACACAGGCACTCTATTTTTGATCGTCTTTTAGTCACTCTGTAGCAGTTCAGCAAGCAATCACTCAGGACAGGTAGATTTTCCGCTCATAGATAGAGATTCCAGATTTTTGGTCCTTCGACCAAAATATGCACAACATCTGGTAACGGTGCACTAGGAATTTGGTATCCCTCATTGCACTGTATTTACACAAATTCTTGATTTTTGTAATGGTTGTGATGTCAGAAGTTATTAAGAAAGTTGCTCTAACATTCGGATCGCTAGCAATGCCTAGCAGGTTAAGAGATCAGGCAATGATTGATTACACAAACTTTGCCGGTTTTTGTCACCAAATGAATTAGTTCCAACAGTTACCTTGAAAGGTTGGTTCAAAAAATGTTCAGGACAGTTTATGTTCTGCATTATGTTATAATGCAGAATTATTGACTGAAAACCAGTGCTGGAAAATTGATCTCCATTTTTGTTTATTTTATGCAGAAGTGAAGCAAATTACTTGGTCTTTAATATTTTGAAATGAAACCTTCAGGTCACGAATGAAACATTTGCTTGCCGTTTTTTTAATGGTTTTAGCTAATTTTACCGTTGTGTTTAATTGGGGATTTGTGATGTTTTTGCTTTCAATTGTATAATCATTGCTTTGAGGATTATTGGTATGTGTTGTTACTTTCTGAGGTTGTAAATGGATTGTGCTGTTTTCAATATGCACTTTATAATAGGCTTTAAACCTTATTTGTGGTCAGTGGGGTGGGGGGGGGCTGGCCTAAAGGGAAATCCCCCACTTTCAACCCCAGCTTCAGATTCTCTGCTGCACAGTTGAGTAGAGACAGTTTTGCGCCCCTCGGCCACATTCTGAAACATTCAGTTCAGCCTCGTTATTGTATTTGTTGCGTGGTGCTTTAATTTCTTAGGAAGGAAATAGCTTCCTGCCGGGGTGTATTAGTTTGAGTAAAATTATGTGTTTTAAAATCTCATTTGACTAGAAGTGCATTTTGTGTAGGTTTCAATCATTCATGTGCATAACTTGAGTAAAATATGAACGAACTATATTTATATCTTAAAATGTTTTAAACAATGAATAAAGAGATTGTAACTGTCATTGCTTTTGTGGCAAAAGTGTTCATCAGTGTAATACTAATTGTCTGTATGAAGCTGAAAACGGGCAGTTCGTGAACACCCCTTTTTCAGACCGGCATTACAAAGTGTCACGAGAAACGTGACTCATCGTAGAGGGCGCTTGATCTGAGTGGTATCATCTAGTCTGGTGTCTCCTTTTTCCAGATTGAGCAACGTGTACAAATACGGCGAACTTTCTCAAGCACTAGTTGGGAACAATACACACCTCTCGCTAAATATTGATATGACGTATGTACTGCAGCTCGCTGTGTACAGTCCTCCAGTCTCTCGCTCACTTGCAACGAATGATCACAGGAATCTAGCGAAACTTTCTGCATAACCTGTTCCTTAATAGCAGTTTACTACTGAAACAATGAACCGGCTGTTTGGATCGAGTAAGCCGAAGGCGCCACCGCCAAATCTTACGGACTGCATTCAAAATGTGAGTAGGAGTGTGACTGTCGGTTTGTTCATTCTCAATGATGTTGTCATTGTCACGCATGTGCAGGGATGTGGGAAGGAACCCTCGGCTGTGCTGCGGCTTCTAATGTTACATGATAGTGCTGTATCGTCGTCGACACCTTGGGATCACTTGTTTAAACCATAAAAAGGAAAGATTTTACTTTACTACCCTTACCAAAGTCAGTTTGGAACAGCTGAATCTTCTAAAATAAGTATCCAGTTGTGTTCAAAATTATCAAATGATTAACGTTACAATAGGGAATCGGGTCAACTTGTATCCGGCCTGGACAATTCGTATCCAAGACAGCTCATACCCCAAAATTGAAACCCAAGTCAACTCGAACCCAAGCCAATTCGTACCCCACTCAACTCTACTTCCAGAACTGTAAGGTTTACAGCCGTGTACAAACTCCCATAAACACATTTTAGCTGTTGTGATTGTGCCGACTTACCCTTCCATTACACCTATTTGTGCAACCAAATTTTGTACACGCCTTCTTGAGGTTTATTCATCTTGTGTCCTCATTAAAATGGTGAAATTCTTGAGCATTTTGCCCGTCCACACGACAGAAAATCAGCAACATGTACTCTCACTGTCTCAGTAACCGTCAGCTGTGTGACAGCTTGACCAATCGCAACTCAGCTCCTATCTTTTCCTTTTGTTTTCCTGACCTTATCCAAATGAAAGCTAAGAAATGATTGGTCATTGGAATGGAAGCAAATTAATCTTAACCACTTTAAAGAAAACTCTTACCTTGTTCGCTTTTCAAAGCAGGGATAATTGTACTTCTCAGGATTTTTCCCGATTTCGGAACTTTGACTCACAAATTTTTTATGCTGCAGAATTCTGAAGCAGAAAAAAATGTGAGTCAAACATATATATTAAACTGTGCAGATTATTCCAACCTTCACTTATGTGAGTGTTTGACTTAAACCGACATGCTTCATTGGATTTCAGGTGGATAGTCGGTCAGATTCCATCGAGAAAAAGATCTCCAAGCTGGATGCTGAGCTGAAAAAGTACAAAGACCAGATGAAGAAGATGCGTGATGGTCCTGCCAAGGTGAAATTATGCATCAAATGTGCTCATGAGGGTCTTTTAACTACATTTAGTTTTTCTCTGTTGTTTTAACTGCATATGATGTGTAACTCCTATTGAATGACAGCAAAGTGTGACATTTCCATTACAAGTCTTTTTACTTGTTTACCAAATTTATACTGTTGAATTTTGTTCAGTTAGGCCGGCCATAAATAAAAACATGTACATGTATATGTGAGGGGGGAAACCGTGTTTTGTTGATGCATTCTTTCTGTTTTGTCCCTCTGTATAGAACATGGTGAAGCAAAAGGCAATGAGAATTCTGAAGCAGAAGAAAATGTGAGTCAAACATTATAGATATTAAACTGGACAGTATTTCCGTGGGCTATCTTGTGCATTCATCCCTTGCATACATGAGAATTCAGTGTTTGTTGGGCCCACGGACTAGGTGTGTGCAGACCAGAGGCCAGACCTCACTGAGGACAGGCTTTGGTTCTTGTAACCCTGTCGGATGCACTTGGATGCAGTGGGCAATCAACAGAAGGCACACAAACTTGCCATGTTGAGACAGTGGGAGCTAGTCTCATTGAACAGTGCCACTGTTGGATCTCGTGGTGACTAGGAAACACAGACTCCTAGGCTCTTTGCCCTCGGTGAGAGTTGACCTGTTGGATCATGTTACACTGGGCAGGCAAGCCCCTTTGACATGTGAAGTACATGTAATTTGAGGGTTACGGTCAAAGCCCCCCCCCCGATGCAGTAGACCAGACGTAATTTTTGTTCTTTGGCTGCAACCTGCAATGACACTCATGTCATTGGGAAGTCACTGAAGCCACCGTAGCCAGAGGTTGCCAGCGGTGCTTACTTCCCAATTTTGTCCACTGCCCCAACTTTGTCCAGTACCGACTTGAGGTGTGCCCAACTTTATCGACATAGTTGGTAATCCACAATGCAGTCAACGTTTGTTCGAGTAGATGGAATCTGAACAGACTGGTCCAACTGAAGACAACTTGTGGTACCATGCATTTTCAATCAAACTAAAGAACACTTAACCACTTCCTGCCGGGGATTCCGGATCCAGACACGTATGTTTTATATGCGTGGCCGGGGTCTCCGAACTCGGACAAAGGGAAGCAGGGCCTTGTAACAGAAGACCGTACTCGGAACAAAAGACCACGCTGCTGGGAATTACCGACATTTTTTCCCTCTCAAAAGTGGAGATAATCCAGCCTTGTTTTGAAACAGTATACCACAGTTTGGGGCATTTAGAGCGAGTGGATTGCCACTGGGGACCCACATTTTTTTTAACTCTCCGGTTTCATCCTTGACAGTCGTTGACCATACTCATTATTCTTAAATGAACTTGCTCATGACCTGTTGCCTGCCTCCTGTTCGTTTTCTCCTCAATCTACTTGGCTGTACAGGTACGAGAATCAGTGTGACAACCTGCGACAGCAGTCCTTCAATATGGAGCAGGCCAACTTTGCCACGCAGACCCTGAAGGACACCAAGACCACGGTGGACGCCATGAAAGTGGGCATCAAGGAGATGAAGAAAGAATACAAGAAGGTTGACCTCAACAAGATTGAGGTGAGCCAGGATTTGTCTAGATTTCAGAATTGTTGACTCCCAAATTGTGGATTTTTAGAGGTTCCGTCATTTTTTGCTATATTTTAGTATCGTGGGTATTATGCAAGATTCACATTAATCCTAATCGTTTTTAAGAGACCTCATGCCTTGTTAGCTTATCAAAGCCCTGAGTTGTCAAAGTGTTTTAGTGTCACTGCCACAGCTGGATATTCTGTGATTTTCAATCACTCCTAATCTTACTGCACCTCCTGGGTTTACCTGCAACAAGTTTCAGTGGAAATTGCACACAGGCCATGAAGACTCAACGTTGCAGAGTCACAATGTGCCAGAACCTTCATTGAATGCGAATTTGTGCATAAAGACCTAAACACAGGAACTTGTACAACGTAAGTGCATGTTCACACCATCATTTCTAGGCCACGGCCTTTATGCACGATGAGGAGAAAGTAAGGTTTTCTTTAGCAGTGTTCAATAGTACACACTGTACGCGCTTGCAGACTGGTGCACATGGTGCAGAACAAGCAAGACCAGCTTATATAGGAATGCCCAGACTGCACATGAGTGCTGGGTACCCAGTAGAGACTGTCGCCCATCATCCTTTGGTTTCTCTGCCAGTGATTGGGTTCTGATTTACTGAGTGGATATCACAGCCCAGTAGAGCTGAGCTTGGCCGGCAGGCTTTGTCTAGCACGCACACTGAACTGGACCTGATCGTGATATCAACACACAGTAATCAAAGTTGTTTGATCTTCCTTTTATTTTTTTTCAACAACAGGATCTCCAGGATGATATGGCGGACATGTTAGAGCAGGCAGATGAGGTCCAGGAGATTATGGGACGGAGTTACGGCATGCCAGAACTAGATGAAGCAGACCTTGAAGCAGGTACCATATGAGACACTACATCAAACTGTGACCCAACCTAAAACAATTCTTCATAAGCCACCCAAACCAATTTTAGCTTGAGGCTTGTCAAAGGAACATCACTCAATCTGCTTATCAGTACCAAGTCGACATTTTCACCCTCCAAAAATCCATTTTCATTGGGATGTCAAAGTAAATGATGCATCAAAGCAACAAAATCATCTTGCTCTTTACCTTGCAAGCTAAAACAAAATTACTAGATAGAGGTCTCAAGACTCATTTTGTAGGATCTGGGCCCAATTTCACGGCGCTGCTTACCGCAAGCGAAAAATCGGGCGCTTACAATAGAAGAAATTCTGTGCTTACGGCGAACATATTTCACAGGTTAGCGAGGAATTTTGGCTCGTGCGCATGCGTACATCCTGTAACTAAGCATTCTGTGCTTAAAGGGTTAGCGCAGAATATTTCTGCTTGCGCGGTTAGCGCAGAATCGAGATTGTAAGCACGGAATTCTGCAGTAAGCAGCGTCATGAATTGGGCTCTCATCACAAGTGAAGGCATAATCTGTTCCCAGAATCAAAACTTTTAGCGGTAGACTTTTTTTAGGGGAGAGGCTTCTGTCTTCCTTCTTTAGAAAAAGTGCATTTCAGATGGACCTGGAAATCACCGCTGTAATCATGAACCTTTGGCTGAATGTACGGGTTTACATGTATAGATACATGCATCTCCCCTGGTTTAAAGAACATTCACGTAAAGAATTCGCAAGTTCTTTTGTATCAGATGAAAAAAAGATGAAACAAAGAAATCTCTTCTCAGCTATATGTTCTTGTAATAATTGATTGATTGACTGACTTTCTTGTGTATCATCTTCAGAACTGGATGCACTTGGGGACGACTTCCTAATGGACGAGGACACGTCGTACCTAGATGAGGCCATCAGTGCCCCTTCAGCCCCAGAAACCAACCCAGGGGCCGAGTCGGTGCAGGTGTGTAGGCTGAACAGTGTCATGACGGCTGCCGAAGTTTTTTTTTTCTCAAGTGGACAAATCTTGATCTTGAATCCATTTCAAAAATTGTTCACGTCTCAGACATGTACATTTTGTGCTGTCAAATGTGGTCTCATAAACTTCAGATAGTCGTCAAAAAGGATCATTCAAATCCATAAGTTTTAAATGTTTGTTACATCTTCGGATGAGGCACAGCATACGTGTCATTGGTTGTTTTTCAAGTTGGGCTGGCGTCAGCTTGAAATAGCTGGTATTTTCACTCTAGGTTTTGCCCTTAGACCAATGTATATTGCTCTTGGTGTGGTCCAAAGCTGCAACAAAATGACAAGCTTGCTTAGGTGGGATTTGAGCCCCCAGTTTCTGCCTCCCAAGTGCAAATGTCATGGGAAGTCGTGGATTTGAATCCAACCCATGCTAGCTTGTGATATTTCGACAGAGTTAGGGCAAAACATTGTATCAAAAAATTCTTCCCCAGCACAAAGCCAAATTAATATTAATTAATATTAATAATATTTTAATGTCAAAAGTCAGAGCTTTTTAATTCCCCGATAAAAGGAAATGTGGGCAGAAATTTCATCAGGACATTTTATTCCTTTCTCCCGTAGGACGGAGTCCCAGTGGACGAGTTTGGATTACCACAGCTGCCATCAACATGAAAAGGTCATTTGTCAGTTATTGACAATATGGACATCGATGATATCACTCAGCATCTCTGTCAACTGTAAAAGTATGATTGATCGTGATTGCTCAATAATGTACATATGTAAGCAAAGTGGTATTTTTATTATGTAATACAGATTAGTTATATCTTGTAGTGTATATTGTTTTGAAATGGTACTTCAAAAGCCAGTTGTTTCATGCATAGAATGCAATCTGTTTAACCTTAGTATCTACAGCACTGTTGAAGTTGAACTGCATTCAGAATTGTTTGGAGTCATCGCTTTTGAAAAATTCTGTGGAACAAAGCCCGAGTACAATTGAATCTCGTTCATAAGAGGTTCTTCGAACTTGGTAATTTACCTTGTTATAACAGGAACCTTGTATTAACGAAGTAAAAACAATGAAAAACAAAATATTGGGACCTAAGGATTTCCTTGTTACAAGCAGAAACTTTCATTAACAGTGCTCTTATTAATGAGGTTTGAGTGTACTTGCTTGAAAGTGATAGTCTTGTGGCCCAAATCCGGATGTTTTCAAACCCCACTGTAGCAAAGCGAAATTATGTGTACATACGTGCAGTTCCTTGACTATGCTAGGTGTTGGCCAGAGAAAGTTCAAAGATCAGTCATTTTATTTCAAAAGCTGGTACGAATCTCTCCAACTAGAGGACAGTCATAAGTAACAGAGAACACTGACAGAATGGTTTAGTCATAGTTCATTTGAATGGCTTGTGACTTGTGATAGACTCAACTACATGTTGCAACACTGATTTACAGCACTGCATTCGTAAATACCGCACCAATGGTAGCATACAACAAAGCCAGTTTGGTGATAAATCACCTTTGTAAGCAAGTGTATCGCATAAAGTGGCACAGGACAATTAAAATATGTAAATAGAAGTAAGAAAAAATAAACTGACACTGTGGATTGCAAAAGACCGATTGCATCCATCAAGTCATGTGACTTATAGTGGGTATCAGATGTCGACATACCGTCCTCTTATGGCAGTGTGTTATAAGTATCATTTACCAAATATAAAGCCAGTGGTCGGTAAAGTACTCAGATTGCCGATGCGCAGAGGATGCCATGTTTGTTGATGGTTGATATCCACTATAGGTCACATGACTTAGCTGGCGCAAGCAGTCTGTTAGGTATACGTGTATCCAGTATATTGTTGACACAATTTTTAGGGAGGGAACTGTAATGAAATGATCCAGTTGACACTCGGTATCCATTTATGCCAATGCTCCTGTACTGTTCCTTGAAATAAAAAAACAAAGACGCTTCAACCAAGATGACATAGTGGGGTCATTTATTCACAAAAGTGACTGTAATGTTTTTCTTTTATTTCATATTTTTCTAAAGTGTTAGGCAATCCCATGACAAGTTGATTAATCAGACCCCTTCTCGATTCTTCTAAATCCACCAGGATAAGGGTTTTGTAGAACTGAGAATAGTGTTCCGCAACGCTTGATGCCTCGTCCAGGTTTAAGTTGAAAGAATATATCGCCAGGTTCTTGCAAAGCACTTGATATCGTAGATCCATGGAGGCTGGAGATACTGACTATCCATTTTCAAAGCAACGGAACAGGTGTTTAAAAACGAAGGCATGTATTTACAGTACCTAAACCGATAAACTTGTAATAGGCATTTTGTCGGCCTTTAAACAACAAATAAACACCTTTAACCATCATCAGCTTTGAATCTAGGGGCTGGTGTTAAATGGAGAGCCCAGGGTCAGGAACTATGCTTTGTCCCTAAATATGGAATGCAGTGAACAGGAGCATGTCGTAGTTGTGTCCAGAATTTCCCATCAAATTTTAAAGACGAAAGTCTGACTTTATTATTAACTTGGTACACCCAATTCTTTGAAATAACTAGAAGACACACTTTAAGCATTCCATGTCACGGATGCCACTTGACACCCTGTGCACAAACCATGTGAGACTGACCTGAAAACATCTAGGTATTTTCTAAGGGAGTTCCTCCATATTTTCACTGCTGGCTTCAAATTTCTATGGGCATGAATTGCTTAACGATTAGAGGCATCTGTATGTGGAATTCTTTCCATTAGTGTTAAACGACAGACATTTTTCTGCATAAACTTTCTTGAATTTGTAAGCAAGGTCATGGTTTCAGTTTTACCCACTAAACCTGGACAGACTTCTTACACAAAACTGCCTCCACAAAAAACAAACTGAGTGCTTTGTGGACTTTCATTGCATTCAAGTTACAAGGAATCTCACATCAAATATTTGTTTCATCCATCAACTTGAGAGAGAACGTCTTATAATTTTAATTCATTTAAATCACACATTATTTAAGACTAGCCAAATACACTTACATGTATGAATCAGCTTCTCGTTTCCATTACAAAATCTGACTGATGAATACAATAATCTCACTGCCTTATTTGCACCCTGGAGTTAACAGATACCTAAGGCCGTGTCCGAAACGGGCTTCCAGAGCTACGGCTGGGTCTATTGTCTACACGTCTCCACAGATTTCCAATGGAGCGAAGACCTAGACCTAGCTCTAGACAAGAGATTTGGATGCAGCCTTAGACAACAAAAAGGATTATTATGTTTTGGTAATCCTTTTTTTTTCCAAAATAAAAGCATCTACCCATGTGCACCATGGGTAACTGAGCTAAAAGGGCAAGATTTGCAGGTACGGTGAACAAGGGTTTGAACACATCGCAACTTGTGCATAAATATTGGAATACATAATACTGGTTGACTGTTCACCTTGATTACACATTTTGTGTACAAAAGCTGAGTTGTTAGCTGGTAACTATTTTTTAAACGGAACCAAAATGGACACGGACCCTTTATAAAAAGGACAACAATCTAAACTATAAACTAAATAAGCACATGTCCAGTATTTTCGGCAATATGTAAAATATGTGGGAGCAATTTTTGTTCTACTATTATACAATTCAAGAAGTACAAAATAAATAATTGAGCAGTCAAACTGCCGTGAAAAACTTGTCCTGAAGGATTAGATGAAACTGTCAAATGTACATTGTACCTACAGTGTCTAAATTTTCACACCAATGAGAGTTGCGTCACTGTACTTTTTATTACAATCAAACCAAGAAATAAGGACTCAAACTGCCCGATGCATAAATATGACACAGACTCCCGTTTGGTGTAAATGAGATTTGTAGTCTAGATTCAAGACACTCCCATTTACAGTGCTCTCAGTTCCACAAGTCCACGCAATAAAGAGGGACCCAAATTTATGGAAACGCCAATGGCATCGGGTGTGTTTTAAAAACTACAACCAGATGTAGGTTAAGAAGGTCACGACGTTGTCATGACTTCACGTTGACTTGACAGGTACCGGTCACATGGGGGGAGGCAAGTTGCCACCACCCTGGAGACCTGTTGCCTTTTTGTTGTGAGAACTGAAAGTGCAAGCACTCTAGAAATAGTACTAATTGTAATTCCTGTGGGAGGATTCCCTTACAAATGGGGAGGGGGGGAGAGTGGATAACCAGGAAAATCCCGCATTTTGCCATCCTGGACCAGAATTTGGATACACCACTAAAACAAACTTCAGTTATACATATTTGAACGACTGATTATGGCCATAAGTTTGCGTTATTTGTTTATGATGTGACTTGGACTGCAGTTATGGCCCAGCAAGGTCAAAGAAATAATTTAAAGGGCACTGGGCACAAATGTGGACTACTTGCAGAAAGATGTCTACTGCTTCCTGAAAGTTGCTGTCATCTGTTTATATCTCCCAGCGTTTTGGAGTGTTTGACAGGCCCAAAATACCAGGAGAGTGATGCAGCCAACCATATTTCAGTTCAATGTTTTGTGGAACTGCGACCATATTCTGCCTCTTTCTCCAGTACTACAAACGTGTCTCTGGTCATGGTTGTGAGACCTTAACCCTACCACCTCATTCAAAGTTTCTGGCAAACCTGCCTCAGCTTTCTGGAGAAATCTAATCATGCGACATCTGCACATATCCCAGTGCAGAGCGCATGACTGCGGTGCCTATTCCAAATATATAACGTACTTTTGAATATTGCCGAAGAATGGGTGTACTGTCACTCCTACACACCAGAAACTTTGACAGAAAGTGACACATTCCAAAGAAGCAGTGTCCATGTTGTAAAAACTGCAGTGGACAGCAACTTATGCTACACACTGTGGAGACCGTGACAATCCAGAACAAGCTAATTGTACATACAATAATAACGACTTTAATTCATTTTGGATTTTTGCTCTGCCCAAAGCATTTATTATAACACTGTATACTCAGTGTTTGCCCCCCGAAGGCTGGTGAAAAAAAAATCAACAAGCGTACTCGGATGGGAATCGAACCCACAACTTTCTAGTCATTATTGCAGACATCTTAACCATTCGACCACCGAGCTTGCCGATGTCGGCTGGCTGGTTCGAGTCAGATGTAGCAGTGGGTACTGCAAACAACAACGACAACAAGCCTTCAGGGGCAAACACCGAGTATACAGTGTTATAATACATGTTGGGCAAGGCAAAAATCCAAATTAATTAACATCTCCCTGGTGCAAATCTATCCTTGGAAATAATGACTTTGGTCTGACAAAATAAGTCTTGATGCGGTAACACATTGAGATGACATACTGGTTCTAGGTCTCCAGCGGTGACCATTCAAAGTTGATATGTCAGCCCACAGAGAGCAGGGAGTCCATTGCACAGTCTCAAATGCAGAGTATCCAATCTCCTGAAGGAGACTCGCCGACTTCCTGTGTGTCATTCCCTGTCGGCCTTGCAGCCACCCAAGCCATGCCTCCTCATGAGGTCCGACACAAACTCAAACCGGTCGGCCCGGTTGCTGAGCCGGTAGAGAGGGTCCAAGAGGAACTGGACCTTGGCAGAACTCTCACGGTGGGGGACGTGGATGGCCCACATGTTGGGCAGCACTACGTACTCGTAGCTGCAGGAAAGAGGCCAGTGAAAAAAAAAAACAGTAGTACCATGCCACAGATTTGAATTACTGAAGCAGAGACTACTCTGCTGTGTAATGCTTTGTGTATCCGTAAGCCGAAATGACCTCAAAGGTTTAGGCTGCCACCAAAGGATCTGACTGAGTTAAACATTGGGACTAGCTGCCAATGTGTTACAATTAGCAGTACACACAGCTACCCACACATACCTGTTTTACATATAAAGTGTGGACATTCCTTTGTTCTCCTGTGGTTAAGGAAACTTGAGGCAAATGCTCCTTTTTCTCCAGCTAGGATAAATCCTTCGAGCTGAATCATTGTTGATGATTTCCTGGACTGTTCCTCTTCATTTTGCCACAGATAACCTTGACCCCAAATTGCCTCTGAAACTGTTTTCAGAGAGGGAGAAACATTGTGTGGACGCGTGCGAGTCCACACTACGCCATCGCACCCTACATTATGTGGACTTCTTTTGTGCAGAGGTCCACACTATGTATACCACGTCTGCATACTCACTACAACGTCCAGCATATCTGTACGCCTCTGAGCTTAAAACATGTTGATCTTGCAAAGTTTAGGTTTTTAGATTTTATAAATGGTTAACACACAAAAAAAGAGACACTTTACAGGAATTCCCCACGACAGGATGCAATAAGCCTTTTGCAAGTTTAATTTGAATTAAATCTGGTACACAGAGTTCTTCAAATGCACACGAACATAACGCTTTGAATTTTCCATACTAAAGACACTGTTGCTATATCTCGTGATTTGGGGCAAGTTTTTGCTTAGTTACATAACACACGCCTTGCACCAATACACTTTTCAATGGATAAGAAGGGCACAAAGGAACCAGTCCATTTCAGAGATGGTGGTCGCTATGCAAAAGCTTGCTCCGTATCACGAGGTATAGCAACAGAGTCTTTATTCTGAGAAATTCAAATTGTTATCTTAATGTGCAGTCAGGTAACTCAGTGCACCAGATTTTATTCAAACCTAACTAACAAATGGCTTATAAGATTAACCTGTAAAAACATCTTTTGATTATGGTGCATGGTTGCCAAATTATGAGCACAAGATATGGAGCAGATTTAACAGTGACAAAGACTGAATCGAAACCCCGACCAAACCCTCATGTTACTTAAACATCAAGCTCACATTAAACTAACAACTTGAATAAATGAATACTGATACATAGTCCTGTGTCCTCCTTTATTCCCTGTCCATTACTGGGCCAGACTTGTGATGGACAGCATAACGGACTTCTTCAAAACCCAAACTTTGAAAATCAAGGATTTTTTCCTGTTTTTCCTGGAAATAATGCCAAAAGCTGAAATGAGATAAACTTCAGGCATACCCGCTGGCGTAAAGTTCCATTGCGTATGTTGCTTTGTTCATCCCATAGCCCATGAAGCGTTCATCAAAAGTTGGAAGCGTTTCTGCATTTCTGCAAAAGAAGGCACCAACATTCAACGATAAAGCTATCCATGAGATCTTGAGAGACATGCGGTCAATTTTTTAAGCCCATTTTCACCAACCTAATTGTGATTGTTGACCAACACTTGTATTTACAATAGTGTGCTGATGTTATGAATTCTCTGAAAGATTTCTTGAAAACAAGAGATAGATACGAAGAGTTTTCTTGTAAAATATCTGCACTTGTGCCGTTAGCAACAACCACAAATTACACTTAAGTACTGCGAATTGAGCTCTTACCTCAGAATGAGGTAGGGTTCATACTTATCCTGGTATGTAGTCACTTTGTAAGGCAGTGTTGCCGAGTACCAGCTCCTATAGTCTGTGGGCCTGTGGGCCTCGGGAGCTGTTGAAATCATTTCACAGAAGTCAAGGTCCCTTTACAAAATGCACATGCAAGTCACACTACAAGTGTTAAGTTTCAAATTTTGGTTTAACCCATATTCATGACAAATTAATTTAACCACGATAAAATGTAAATGAGTACTGCAGATAAATCACTTGAATAATATTTAAGATCTATTCATAAATACCTCCAACAGCTTCAAAAGGAATTCTGAAATATGTCTTCAAGTTGCAGTCGAAATGCTTAAGTCTGAATTTTGTCCCACATAACAGCACGTGATAATGAAGAGGCAACAAACACGGATAGCAATATACCGAAAAAGGTATTTAGGAATGGGAACAAACGTGTGACAGAGTGATTTTAAACAGGTATATTGTAAAACTGAAAACAATGGACCTTGCCTTGGGCAGCCTGCAAGAAACTATTGCTTTGATATAAACAACTGCATTTTTCCAACAAGGCCATAATCAGCAGAGAAATTTCCTGATCAAGTAGCCAACATTTGACTTTCACTTCCATGATTTTAAATTGACGAAAGGATATTGAAGGGGAAGATGATGGCCCCGTCACCAAACATCTTGTCTTTCAATTCCTGCTTGGTCTTGGGTTGGTCGATGGGAAAATCCTGGGGGAAAAAAACACCCAAAACACAGGTTACGTAGCCACTCATGCACAGTAGTATCCTACAGTAATCTAACCTGAGGGCAGCGTTATTTTGGCTGAAAATATGGACTTGTTAAAACAAAATGACACAACAGCCATGGTCAGTTTAACCCCTTCATACCAGGAGCTGTCCACAGCCACAGCCACAGCCACAGCCGCGGCTTTGTGTGAGGATTAGTGCATACCACACATACAGTCTATTCACCATGCAGCTGCGGCTTCAATGTGGGCCTGCTGCTGGACAGAGCTTTGCATACTGGGCATACCACAGCCCAGCAGTCACGGTCAAAAGAATCCCCGGCGTGAAGGGGTTAATACTGAGTAGGACTTGACAAAGCTGACCCTTGGTGGTCACTTGTCCAACCTGTTTAAGCCTCTGAATATTCAGGCTTGAGGATTATGGATGTCATCTGCTAAGCACAGAGCAGTGCCACAACGTGTTCCACATCCATCCTTGTAGCTGGCAAAGACAAGCCCAGTACACTTTCACATCATCCAAATGAAACAATTACATTTAAAGATAATGGGTCCCACTTCAGGAAGACAGAGCAACTTATCAAGCAATCATAGTAAAGGTTAAGCCCCTAGTGAGAGGCAGCCGTCTTTGCTTTCCCTCCCGTGCCATGCTGCATGTTCCAGCTGAGCGAGTCCTACGCTGGTGCACACATTTCAGAGTCTTTCCTGAATGCATTGGTCAGGACGCCGGTGGGCAGGGATTAAATGGTCAGTCCATTCTCTAGAAGTGGCCTCATTGAGGAACTAATGGCTGAGGTCAGGTTAAACACCTTGCATGGCATGCTTTATATAGAAAGGGAGTAAGCCCTTGTACATCTTGTAATAGTTTGCAGTACCTGCTGCTACATCTGACATGGTTCAGCCAGCCGACCCTGGCATGCTCTGAAGTCAAGAGGATAAGACGTCTGAACTAGTAAGCAAGAAGTCGTGGGTTCGAGTCGCACTCAAGTTAGCTTGTACATGTTTTCGCAAGCTTTCAGACAAGCACCGAGTATTCAGCAGTATCACTATACTTCAGTGTAAGCGCCAAACTCCCTAATCCTGTCCTACCTTGATGAATTCTTGTGTGTACTCAAAGACAGGCACCACAAAGGCAGTTTTGTTAAACTGTGGGGTTCTTTCCACCATAGCCAGGGAGGACAGGAAGGTGGCTTGAAAGTCTGGAGACGGGACAAAGTCGGCATCCAGGAGGAAAATGTACTTGGTCTTGGCTTGTCTGACAGACAGAGAGGTAAAATGACCATTAAGGATAAGACCAATTAGTGCTTTACAAGAACAATTTGGCTTAGCACAAGACTTAGTTTCTTCAAAGATGCCATTCTTCTCTTCAAAATATAGAGGATTTCATCAAACTAGAGTCTGTAAAACTTAATTTTGCTAAATCCCATGCTGATGTACGATTGTCTTCTTTTTAATGGATGATGGTTCCTGAATTTAAACTTAATCTTAAGCTGCAACAACTTTCAGAGACGTCCAGCAGTAAACTGAAAAAACACTGGCATCTATGCAGGTCTCTAAACATAAAACTTCCATTATGTATGGGAGAGAGCGTACACAAAATCATGGACTTGACCCAGAAGCGTATGTACTCAGTACTAACTGGTTAAAAAAAAACTCAGTGGGGGTTAAAAGATGAAGATGAAAGATTTTGAAATTGTATCTACCTGATGGCCAAATTCCTTAAATAGTTGACTGGATACTCGTCCTCTGACTGAAATAACGATAAAAAGGTTCAAACATGTAACTTAACCCTCCTTTGGTTTTACAGCACAAATGTGCACAAATGCCCACAGTCACTGGTCAGCATGTAGTTTCTATAGGGAACTCAAACATGCACAGGTTTAGTGTGTACACAGTAGATTGCCAGCACAACATGACCCAGGGTCTTTTGTGCAGTCCTCTGCTCAGTGGGAACTGCCAACATGAACAAATTCATATTGAAGTGGAGCCATTACTTACTGTTTTTGCATAGACGACGACCATATTGCATCGCCCCGGTAGATGGCTATTACGAAGTTTCTTCTTAATGTACTGCCTGCAGGAGAACATCATTATGCAGTTTCGACAAAATGTGATTTTTTTTAGCACAATAACTAATACTTGTTCTTGTGAAAACCTGTACAAAGTTACATGGAAATTCAAACTTTAAACATGTTGCAAGCTGTTTAGTAAAATCGACAATAACGGTTACAGCACTACAAATCATTCCTCCTTATTTGGATGAAATAGTTGTCTAGGGGTCTATTACGCAAATGTAACATTTTCCTTCGGCCCCAAGTATCAAGCATAATGCACATGATCTGATGATTGCTACCAAGAGAGCTTACAAAGTAAAATCCAACCAAGTTGGACGACTCACCTCTTCCATCCGTGGTCATCGTTTTCGCTCTTGGAAGCCTTCGTTGGAACGTAGAGCGCCACCGACACAGGTCCCTGCCAATGCTCCAGGGTAGATTCTAGCAGGTCAATCCTGTCCAGTGATACCTGGGTGACCAGGGTGACAGGTTGGGACTCCTTGTCACCCTGACAAAAGAAAAAAAGGCAGCGATGAAATGAAGAACCTCATTTAAACGGACGTTTTCTTTGAGCAGAGCGGGTTGAATACACTTTCTCTTTATTCAACAAAAGATCAACTTGTCCATTATTTTTTATAAAAAACCACACTTTTAACCTAGCTGAGTCCTACAAGTATATATCAAATTCTTAATACTCGGCCATTTTTGGCTAAAAAACCTTACTGAAAATTTTGACATTCTTTCTGGAATCCAATAAGAGATTCTTCGAATTTTCTTGACATGTCAAGGCCCAGTTTAAAATGACATTAACTCAGTTCTTCCCTCCTCAATCCCACAGGATCTTGAAAACCCCTGGCAGATTTTATAGGATCTAGAAGGCCTAGAGTTATTCTGACTGCAATTAAGACTTACAAATTGCAGATACGGGTGGTGTAATACACAGTTTTCAGTTTAAGGCAAAACAAATGCAAATGCAATGCCTAGTCCAAAATTGAGTGCCAGACTGAGACCAGTGTCTAATGATTTCTCAGAACAAGTCTACCTTTTTCCCATCCGTTAGGAACTGCTCCACATCAAAATCAAGTTCCGAGCTGGTCTTGACTGACCTGAAGTAATCAGGGCATTTCTGGACATAGTCTTTGGTGACCATGACTTGAGAATGGTCATCTGACATCGAAGAAGAAGCAAGATTCAAGAATAAGAAAAGAAACTTCTGCACTGACGATCTATGAACCTCTTTTACAACAATCCATGCACTGAATCCATCCACTGAATCCTTGGCTTTGTCCCTGGCTTCAGGCTTTGTCTTGGGCTCCACAAACATTTTAAAACACTTAAAACTGGAACCAAATAGAGAAACAGCAGTTTGTGGCCTCACATCGTACAATGTAATGATTCTGTTACTAGCTACATTTAATATGAGAATCTAAACTTGGATTGTATTGTAATTTGTAAACTATGTATGTTAATTATGTTTACTCCTGTATGTTATGTTGTATTATGCTCTGTTCCTCTGTAAAATTATTGTTTGTCTGTCCAAAGGTTTTGGGAACTAAAGCTAGTTGGCTTCACTCAATACCTAACATTGCTGAATCTCCTTCAAATCTCATACATGTATAAACTGAATTACTGTAACATTCCTTGGTCATTTGTGGTGTTGATGTAGACTCTCATGTTATCCATTTTCTTTTTCTTAATCTTGTACTGAGATTAATCTTGTATTTCAACAAAACGTTGAAATAAATGTTCAGAGTTTCAGTTCATAAATCTGACTAATCAATGGCTAGGCGCTGCAGTGTGTATCTTAGCGACTTGCCAGCAGTCACCGAACAAAGTCATCAAATACATGTACCTCAATCGCAGCCAGTAAACCATTACATCAAAAAGGTGTGCAGTAAGCCTTTAAGCTGAAACCTGATGAGGTTTAAAAATATACTAGGCTGAGATAACCCATCTGATCCCATTTTCACCATGTCTCCTTTCAAAGTCTACAATGCACGTAAAATATATTGCCAACAGAGAACCTACAAACCGATGTAGCAACCAGAATTATACAACACATTACTATGTTGGTAGCTGCATTTATCTGTACATGTAGGTGGTATCCGCAAATGTCACATGCCTCTCCAACCAATAGGGTGTCGTGACTTACCAAAGTGCAGTTGCCATCAAAGACATGCTATTTCCTTGGACTAGTCTACCTGTACTTAACAATTGTGCAATTTCTGCTATCTCGCGACTGTGCTATTCTGAAGTTGCAGAACGGATTTTCAACTTTCTACTTTTATATGGCAACAAACGAAAATGGATTTTTGGGGGCAGAATTTCTTACCTGAAATTGGACGCACTGTGACATCCATAAATTTTACGGAACCCTGGTAGCCATGGCAACACAGCATGACGGTGACACTCTGTAACACTTTGTCAGCGGGAAATAACTATCAACACAATAAAATATGATCACTTAACAGTGAGTCACATTGTCCAAGGCCTCAGTTTGCTGTCTTGCTGAATGGTAAAAGAGATAGTTCCCCCCGGCAAATGAAGACAATGCAATCTTACCACTACTTTCTCCAAATACTGAAAAAAGTAACAAGCTTTTCACCATGATGGGCACAAAACATTTCAGGTCAAATATTAACCCAAACTGAAGTCCCAATAAAATCCACAAGCAGAAGACCAAACATTCCTCATTTGCACTTAAACCTAGGCACATAAAGCTCAATGTAAAGTAGAACTAATTGGTTCACATGTTCAAATCCGACTGCTGGCCGTTTGTTGTTCTTGGGCAAGGCACTTTACCCCATTTACCTCTCTCCATCCAAGGGGTATCAGATACAACCGTTAGCTTTGGAGGAACAGGTGATGGACAAATATCCCCTCCAAGGGATCAGAAATACTCTCTGTCACTTAATGCTACTGAAACTGGAGAGAAATGGTGGCCTGAGGGTCCGGCCT